CTGTGGCAACAGTGATTGTAAAGATTATGGGAAACAAAGCATCTCAAGTTATAGTCTACTTAATTATCAACATGTAATCATTTCTTTCTGTATGCACTATCTAACTAAAGAATTTAAGAATAGTATTTGGGAATCTCCTTTTTATATAGTAATGTCTATGCAGATGGAAACATTGATCACTGTCAAGTCATATTTAATATCCTTGAATGACTTACTAGCATTCATAAGCAATGCTGGATGCCTGAAGTGTGCTTGACTCTTATCCACATTATTGCAGAGTGCTGATTATGCTAATTACCATGCTTTACTTTAAAAAAAAATCTTTATTACTTAAAATATTACATATGTTCCCTTTCCCCCCCATTGATGGCTCCCCACCTCCCACCCTCCCACCCCCTCCCCCAGCACATGCCCTCACCAATGCCTAGTGCCTGTGTCCATTGGTTAGGCTTATATGTATGCATACAAGTCCTTTGGTTGATCTCTCTTTTTTTTTTTTTTAAATATTTGTTATTGATTTTTCACAGAGAGGAAGAGAGAAGGATAGAGAGTTAGAAATATCAATGAGAGAGAATCACCGATCAGCTGCCTCTTGCACACCCCCCACTGGGGATGTGCCCACAACCAAGGTACATGCCCTTGCCCAGAATCGAACCCGGGACCCCTCAGTCCTCAGGCTGACGCTCTATCCACTGAGCTAAACCGGCCCCGGCTTTTGGTTGATCTCTTAACTTCTCTCCCCCTTGCCTTCCCTCTGAGGTTTGACGGTCTGTTCGATGCTTCTCTGTCTCTGGATCTATTTTGTTCATCAGTTTACATTGTTGGATAATCACTGTACTTTAAAATCACAGAGTGAACAGCAATTAGGCAGTTCATCTGGTGATTCACCTCTAGCAGAACATATCTCGTTACAATACAATCATGTAATCTGTTGGTTGTTTTCTCTTCAAGATTTCTAGAGAAGAATCACAGTCATTTTCTCTACATATAGTTTGTTTGAAGGTCAAAGATGAGGGAAATTTTTAAGTTTTCACCCCATAATCCAGTTTTAAATTCATTTGTGTTTAAGTATTTCCTTAGTGTATAACAATCTTTTCCAGTTTTGCTGCTAGAAAGTAGAATTAGAGAGAGAGAGACTGATAAAAGGACATAGGAAGAAGCAGAGTAAAAGGGGAGGAATGAAAGAAATCTGACAGAGGGAAATCAAGAAGAAATATAAAAAGAATTCAATGTTCTGTTACTCTTTCATTTTTTTATTTTCAAGGCTCGTGATCTGGTTCTTTTCTCCAGGCACTCACTACTTGAATACAAAGTACAAACTGACTTCAGTAATGATTAAGAGATGGATGGTTGATTATTTGTTAACTGTGGACACAAGTCCACTTATTCAATGATAAAATATGGTCAGACCTAATATTTTTTAATAATAAAAACATGTGGTAATAAAAATTCAACTTATATAGAGAGGTCTAAGAAGAAAAGGGAAAATCTCCTGCCTATTCCTCTGCCACATCTAGTCCTTTTCAACCACTGTTAAAAATTCCTTTAGTAATTTTCCAGGAAGAAAAATAAAATCCATTCTTCTGCACAGATATATGAATGTGTAGGGGGGGGAAGTGTACATTTAAAAATTTATTCTAGAGAAATAACATCATCCCTCCTATATGGCAACTTACTTTTTTCTCTTTAAAATTCATTTGGAGATCTTCCCACGTGTCTATTCGTGGAAATCCCACGTGTAAGGAAACATTCTCTTTTTAAGCAGTGCATCCCAATGTCTAGAACAGAGGTGTCACATATACTTTTCCCCCAACAAGAAGTTGTTAGGTAAATGAATGAATAAATCAGAAAATACAGATCAACTTCAATGTTTTGGATTAAAGTATAATATTACATTATTTAAATGTACAAGAATATCTAGTCTGCTACTGCTGAACATTTAGAATATTTGAAGGTTTTTGGCTATTACTATAGTAAAATTTTCTAAGCGCATATGTTGAATCGTATCCTTATATATCTATATGTGATCCCAAGGTAATTACTTATCAATAGTTCAGTTAATTGCATTTTTAACTTTTATAGATATTGCCAAGTATCACTCCTAAACAATTTTGTGAACTTACATTCTCGTTACAATACAATTTTTATTCTGGAGCAAATATGAAAACCTAAAGGTAGTAACAGAAACACACATTCTGAGAAAATACACATTCTTTCATCGACAGCCTTTCAATGAAAACTGTGTCAGATGCAATCTCACAAAAATGAAAAGCCTTCTGGCTTTGCTGAGCACTGGGGACATCCTTTTTCTCCAAGACAAAGTATTTGTTCCCACTGGCCAGCTTTTTGGAACTTGGCCAACAATTCATGGTTAACTGCCTCCTTTGTATATTTTAATAGTAAAATATAATTCTATTATATTTTGTAAAAAGTTCAGTAACTGCATCTTTGTGAAATATAAGTAACAATTCAAGAGCTTGCAGATATCATCGAGAAAGTATTTGTTAGAAAGAAAGGAAAAAAACACACCAACAAGCTGCAGTCCTGCAGAAGTGCTTGAAATACTATCACTAGGGCTCTCACAAGGATTCCACTGCCTATTGACATTAAAATAAGAAAAGTAACCTATATGCAGAAAGAAGGTTGTATTCACATTAACATTCATGAAGACTGAGCAGCTGGAGCCCTACACATCAAGTAGGGAATATATCCTTTGTCTGCTGCTGAGAAAATGTCGCAGTGATAAATGGTTACAGACAGGGGTGTCACAAGGGCAAAGGCACACAGAACCGCTCTGACAAACTTTTAAAAAAAATTAAATCTTCCTCTCCTGCAGTTCTTTTTGTCGCATTGTGGGGCACAGTGCATAGAAAAATATTGAATACGGAATTCCTAACCTTTACTGACACACTTCCCAGAAAACAAAAAAAAAAAAACATACACTTTAGAAATAATTTAAAACAACACTTCAAAGGCTCCATGATGCATAAATACTGTATTCAGACATTTTGAAAAGAAGTGCTCTACACCCTGCCCATGGCCTGTTTGGATCTAAAATGTATATTGTCATATGGCTGTCAAAGTAAAAGTCTGTAATGTCAACCCTGGGAGACCTTAGGCCTGTCATTAAAACTCTTTACACCAGCGATTTTCAACCTTTTTCATCTCATGGCACACATGAACTAATTACTAAAAGTCTGCAGCATACCAAAAAATATATATATTTTGCTGATGTGACCAAAGGTAGGCATAATTTTAATTGATTTACACACACAAAAAAAGTGTGTGTGGGGGGGGGAATTACTAACTCTTTACCAACCCCTACTCCAAAGTGACTTTAAAAACAAAACAAAACAAAACAAAACAAAAAAACAGGTGCCAAAGCTGGTTTGGCTCAGTGGATGGAGCGTCGGCCTGTGGACTGGGGGGTCCCGGGTTCGGTTCTGGTCGGGGGCCTGTGTCTTGGTTGCGGGCACATCCCTGGTGGGGGTGTGCAGGAGGCGGCTGGTCCATGATTCTCTCTCATCGATGTTTCTGATTTTCTATTCCTCTCTCTTCCTCTCTGTGAAAAATCAATGAAATATATATATTTTTTAAATAAAATAAAATAAAATAAATCAGGTGCCTATTTATACTTGTTTGCAAGGGTTTCTGGTACCTAGAATTAACCAGTCACATGCAACCTTATTATGCACGTGACCAATAAGATGCAACTGCATTATGTGACACATATGTTCCCCAAAATGTATACGCACACTTTGAATAATTATAAAGGCAGTGTTTACTAAAATACATTTTATTTTTAAAATTGAGCTATCAGCTGTTAAAGGGTGTATACATTTTTCTATATTCATGGTTCAAGGCAGGGTATCCCTGATGCTATGGACACCTGATGCTATTGTTGTGCTGGCCGTTGTCACTTTCTTAATTTGACGATCTAAAGGAAAAGAGACCAGTGGCCCTGACTAAACAGCCAAGTGTTGCATATGTTTAAAAATTCTTGCAGCACACACACAGGGGTTGAAGATTGCTGTTTTCACACTTCTTTACCTAAATGCAAACACTCATTTAGTAAAGTCATGAGGAAAATCAGGTAGGAAGTCCCTGAACAAACTACTCTGTTCATTATTACCTCATACGCTCCAAATGTAACTACCCATGACTTTCAATTGTTTTTCAAAACAAAATAAGTTACAATTTGTAGTTAATGGGCTTTGTCTCATTGAGCAATGGGAAGCCTGGGGACCAGGGCTTAGCGGGCAAACATTTCCCAGGGCCGGACTCTAGATGGCTCACGCTCTTCACCTAGAAACACAAAGGCTGAAATAATCCTCTCTCGCCGTCCAAACGGCTTTCCTCCCGTGTTTTGCCTCTTCTGCGGCGGTCTAGGGGCTTCCGCGTGAGTGAAATAAGCGTAGTACGATTTCTAGCACACAGACGTCAACACTGTGATTTGGCGCGTCCATCCCAGCCCTACAGAAACCTCCAGGTGCAGCGCAAAAAGAGATGCACAGCAGTCCTCGGCCAACCCCGAGCACCATCGCACTCCGTGCTTTCGGGGCGTTGCCGTCCGCGCCGGGAGGACGAAGGACACAGGCACCGGCGCGCCCGGGAAGCGCGTGGGCCCGGGGACTCACTGGGAGCGCCTCTAGGCTGGAGAGTGGGCGGGGCCGGGGCCCCAGGAGGGTGGGCGGGGCCTCGGTGGGGGTGGGCGTGGCCCCCGCAGCGGCCCTGCGCCTGCGCGCCGGCACTGCTGTAGGAGCCCGGGTTCCCCGCCGGCTCCTACGCCCCCGCCCTCCGCCTCCCCCGCCCCTTCCCACCTCCGCCCACTGGACGCGATGACGCACGGCAGGTTTGCGGACGTGGCGGCGGCGGCGCAGGACCGGGAAGGCGGAGACTTTGGCCTCGGCGGCGGCGGCGGCGTGAGAGGGAAACGGTGGCGGCCGAAGGCGGAGGTTCGGCCATGAACTTGCCCGGGGCGGCAGCGGCGGCGGACTCGGATGTCGTCTCCTCGTGGCGTCCCCCTTGCTAACGGGACAGGTAAAGATGGCGGCGAGGGGTGGGGCGCGGCGGGGTTGGGCCCCCGCGGCGTCCTCACCGGAGGCGACGCGGGGCCCTTGGCGGCGGCTGGAGGGGCCTCGAGGTGGAGACCTCGGGGACCAACCCCCACCGGAGCCCCCGGGCACAGTGTTGGGGGAACTGAGGCCCGGAGGAAGGGTTTCTGCGTGCCGCCCGGTGCCCGGATGTTTCTCGCCCCAAACCCTCTGATTTCTCCCACGACGTGGTGTGTGTGTTGCACAGTCCACAGGTGTCCTGGTGCGGGGCGGGGGAGACCTGGGGTCGGACCATCGCCGGGGTGACACGGAGAGGAAAGGGAAGCTCAGTTTTCAAAAACGGCGTGGCCCTGGCGGGCGGTCCGTCCCGCGCTCCTTCCCGCCCCGGCGCCGAGCTTCCCGGCGCCCGGCCCGCGGCTTCCCCTGCGGAACGGCCGGCCCCGCCGCCCGGACCGGGCCCCGCTGTGCCCGCGGCCGGCTGAGGGCGCCCGGCGGCTCCGGGTCCGCCTGTCCTCCGCCCGCCGGCCGGCCGCCTGTTTTCGCTTCCCGGAGCGGAGGAGGGGCGCCTGCCTCCTGCCCGAAGAGGGCGAGGGGCGGCCGGGCCGCGCGTCAGCTGCCGGGAGGCCTGGGGCCGCAGCCGCGCTTCCCACTTCCTGCGACACGGCCAGTTCGTGACGATTCAGAAACAAACAATACGGGCGGGTGGTATTGTGCTGCCTGCGTTTCATTGCAAAGGAGGAGTCAGTTAAAAAGAGAGCGAGACCGCCGAGACCGGTTTGGCTCAGTGGACAGAGCGTCGGCTTGGGGACTGAAGGGTCCCGGGTTCGATTCCGGTCAAGGGCATAGGGGGTGTGCAAGAGGCAGCTGATCGATGACACTCTCTCATCGATGTTTCTGACTCTCTCTCTCTCCCCCTTCCTCTCTGTAAAAAATCAATAAAATATATATTAAAAACAAGACAGATCAAAATTCCGTCTTCAAATATTAACTCTGTATCATGGACCAGAGGTTGATAATAGATATCTAAAGTGGGTTTTGGGTCTGTCTGTGCCAAGCCGGTGTGGGGGTTCAAAGAACAAAATATGAGGTAGGAACATTCCAACGGGTGGCATGACTGGGGCAGCATGTTTAAGTTGCGGTATAACGAAGTGTTATTAACGTTTTTAAAGTCAGGGACACCTTTTTGAGAATACGAAAATCATAAGTACTTTCCCTAGAAAAATATGCATACGTATAGCAGCATGTGCCTATGAATCACAGGATTCACAGGCATTCCCTAGATTAAAGACACGGAATGGAAAATACTTGATTAAATAAGTGGAAATAAAATATTAAAGGTGAAAGATATTCTTTCAGTTTGTTTTTTTTTTAATATGAAAGCATCCTTAATTTATTATGGCGCTAAAACAAGATTAATCACTTTGTTGCTTGTTCAAATTCCTTGAAAGAATTGATCAAGCCTTCAAATTTGCTTTTGAGATGCAAAATGTGGGGAGCTTTCTTTAGTTTGGTGGCTGTCAAGAGTCCCAGATAATGGTAGGTAATAAACAATGTAGCACCTGGAGGAACAGGTGAAGTAATCTACTTAATATGTAACTATTAGTCATGTGTTATCTGAATGGAAACCTTTGAGTTTTTAAAGCATTATGTTGCCATAGAGGTCAGAAATTGGTTTTCAAGGGTTGGGTTCAATTATATGAAATTGTTCTGAAAATTTTGTGAGTATGTGCCTACATAGAAAGTATAATTTTTTGTCATCCAAACTTCACAGACTTTTGGAGTTTGTGTTTTCTGATTTCTTTTTTCTCATTTTCATTTGGTACTTGTTCATTATATTCACAAGTGAACTAAGTCCTTTTTGAGACATCATTTTGCCTTGGCTTTATGACATACAGTTTCTTTCCCTTCTGAACGCTCCTTTTCCATGTTCTTTGCATGCTGATTGTCCTTCACCAGGATATTAAGTGTAGCAGTTCTTCAAGCTAAAACTTGGAATGTGGAATTAGTTTGTTCTCATTTTGTTCATTTTTAATGAGAATAGATCAACTTGATGAAGGTGAGTGGAGAGTATGCAAAAAAGCAAAAGTAATTTATTGATACATGTTTTTCACTTAGGCCAACTCTCATTCAGTCTTACAGTGTCTTTTCTGAAGTAGAAATGAATCTGTTCACAGTAAATTGAGTTTGAGGAGGACTTGGATAAGTTAAAGTTTAGTGAAAAGCTTCCAGAGAAGAAAAATCATGACCTATGTAGAAAGTCACCTATTGTAGTAAATATAAAAAAGATGTCAGCATGATCCAAGGAGGTAGATAGGTAGTACAAAAAATATTTGTACTTAACCCAACCTGAACTTAAAGTGCAGAGCAAGCCAAAAAGTTTTGCGTTTATAAAAGTATTTGTGTGTGTACCTAAAAATGTGTGTGTATGTATGTATATTATATAATCATGTTTTTAAGATAATATAAAAGTAGTTCTCATTTTAGTCTCAAACTCAAAATAAGGGGAACGTAAGTTTTTTACTGAAAAAATTATTATAGCAATTTGTTTTTGTTAGCCAGGCCGGTGTGGTTCAGTGGTTGAGCATCAACCCATGAACCAAGAGGTCACTGGTTTGATTCCCAGTCAGAGCACATGCCTGGGTTGTGGGCTCAATTCCCAGTAGGGGGTGTGTAGGAGGCAGTCAATCCATGTTTCTGTCTCTTTACCCCTCTCCCTCTCTGAAAAATAAAAAAACATATATTTTTTAAAAAGGAAAGAAAATATAATCATCTTACATGTTTTGTGATATATAGTCTAACGCAGTGTTTCCCAAACTTTTGACATATGTGTACCCCTTCTATAATTTTTGTAATGCTGAGTACCCCTCGTACTCATGAGAACGTAGAATTAGGTGCAGCCAAGCACGGTGCAGTGCATATCCCCACCAAACTCCGGTGCAACGTGTACCCCTCCAAACTCTTCCCGTACTCCTGGGGTACCACGTATCACACTTTGGGAAACACTGGTAAAGAATGGATTACCTCTTTATCCCATCCCATTGTCGCCAATGCCAAATATATTCGCTGTACTTTGTCAGGTATAAAACTTGAACCTAAATTTTAAAATAACTGAAACCATTCTTTAAAAAAAAAAAAAATCCCGAAGTGTCCTGACTGTATGATATATATAAAACCAGACAAATGGATCAGCTATATTTTAAAGTTTTCTCTGCTTTCTCCCCCCCCCCCCCCCCCCCCCCCCCCCCCCAGGTTTTGACATTATGGCAGGGAGGCATCAGAATCGCAGTTTTCCTCTTCCAGGAATTCTTTCCAGTGGTCAAGTACACGCATTTGTAAATTGTACAGAGAATGATGTGTTGGAGGAGGATGCTGAAGTATATGAGCTTCGATCCAGAGGAAAAGAGAAAATCCGAAGAAGTACATCAAGAGATAGACTAGATGACATTATAGTATTAACAAAAGATATACAGGAAGGAGATACTTTAAATGCAATTGCCCTTCAATACTGTTGTACGGTAAGTTTTAATTTTATTTTGCATAATGCAGTTCAAAATTATTTGTTCATAACACAAATTGAGTTAATTCTGTGCCTTTTTATTTTGCTCCCCCTCCTTTTCTTCTTTCCATAGAAATCTGTATCCTGTTGATGGATGTTAACTTTTTAAATTTTTAAGTGAATACTTGAATTTCTTGTTATTCCTTAATCCATGCTTCTAATTTCAGTACTAAATATCACCTAAATATGTTATCTATCTCTTTCTTATCCAAGTAGTAAGAGAATATAAAATCATATAAGGAAGTTTTCTTTGTCCCAATTTCCTGGGATAACACACTTGTGTATCTTTTCATACCTTTTTTCTGCTTTTAAGAATATATATAACATTCTTAGGAGGTTGGTTTTTGTGTTTTTAAAATAGATTTATACCATGTCTGTTATGCTGTAAGTTGCTTTTGCCTTTTTCATTTCTTAGTTTATCAGGGATATTCCCACATAGATCTAACTTGTTATTTTATATAACTATGTAATTTTCCATAGTATGCATGTACCATATTATTAAGCCATTTTCATACTCATGGGTAGTCAGGATTTTCCCTGTGTTTTCTATTGTGCTATGAATGTCTTTACAACTATATCTTTAAATTGAGGTACTTTTATTTCTGTAGAATAGATTCTAAAAGTGGGATTGATAAAGGAAAGATATATTTCTTATTTTAGTAGATACTAAACTGTAAAAACCCATTTTATATCTGTGTCATTTGAATCTTGCTCCTTAGCATGGAATCTGTTTTCTCGTAAACACACTGATATGGAAACTGTGGTTTTCAAACATTTTGTTCTCATACGTCTAATAGAATTTTGAAGTGTATGTACCTTCTACATTTTATTTTTAATTTAAATTCTTTATTGTTTAAAATATGTCTCCTTTTCCCCCCACAGACCTCTCCCCAGTCACACTCACACCCACCCCCAGTACCTTGTACATTTTAAAGTGAACTCCTTAAATACTTCTTAATAACTTAAAATAGTTACAAAGATATTATTTCTATAAAGTCAGTATTGATATTTATAATAATAAAAGGGTAATATGCTAATTAGCTGGATGTCCTTCCTGATGAAGCTGGGTGGGAGGGAAACCAGCCTGGGTCCCAGGTGCATGCTGGTAGCCGGAGGGAAGCCACTGGTGCTGGCAGCCAGAGGAAGGCCTATTTTTGTACAAATTTTTGTGCATCAGGCCTCTAGTTTAAAAATAAGACTGTTAGAATACAGAATGTCCCCCCAAAAAATGTGCACACACTTTCATAGCTGATAGGTGGTGAGTTGTATGAGTTCTTTGTGTATTTTGGATAGTATCCTCTTGTCAGAGCTGTTGTTTGCAAATAACATCTCCCATTTGGTTGTCTTTTTGTTTTTTTGTTGGTTGTTTAATCTTTTTGTTTTGTTGGTTGTTGAATCATTTGCTTTAAGGAAAAACAATCTTGAGGTAGTAAAATGACAAAGACCCTTTATCTTTACTGTATCTCCTGTTTACTCTTCAATCCTCTCTCCTTCCTCCCACACATACACTTCAAGGGAGATGATTTTTCCCACAAGAAACGCTCAGTCTCCATTGGACTTGATCAATAATCTGCCATTGATCCAGTTCACCACTCCTTCCTAAAAAAGCTCTTTGTTTGACCTTGATACTGCAGGTTTCTGATTTTCCTGTTACTGATATTTAAGCGTAGCTGATATTTACATAACATACTATATGTCACTTCTAAATGTTCTTTAATTGATTAATCTTTACAACAACCTTATATGGTAAGTAGTAGTATCACTTTCATTTTACATATGTGGAAACTGGATTTGAGAGGTTAAACACCTTGGCCCAAATCATATAGCTAGAAGCGGTCAGAGCAATCATTCAAACCCAGATAGTCCATGCTTTTAATAACCACTCTCATCTATTACTTTCCTGGTCACTCTTAATCTCCTTTGTGGAGTTCTCTTACTCAACATACCCCACAAATGTTGGCATTCCCTTAGGGTAGTGGTTGGCAAACCACAGCTTGAGAGCCACATGCGGCTCTTTGGCCCCTTTAAGTGTGGCTCTTCCACAAAATAACACGTGCGGGCCGGCACAAGTGCGATTGAAACTTCGTGGCCTATGCCCAGAAGTTGGTTTTTGGCCTGGGCGAGTCGATTTTGAAGTGGCATCAGAACATTCAAGAGGCCAAAGAGCCACATGTGGCTAGCTAGCCAAGGTTTGCCGACCATGCCTTAGGGGTCTTTCCTATGTTACCTTTTGCTCCTGTCTTTTTCTAGTGAATCCATTCTATAATACTCTTGTTGCCTTTTTGCTGGTAAACCACAAATACATATCTCTAGTTGAGATCATTCATCTGCATTTCAAACATATATTCTAGAATCTACTTAAATAGCTGGCTTTAGGGCTGTTAAACATGGGAGATAGTAAAAAGTTAATTGGTGATTTCCTAAGACTGATAGATCATAAGTGGTGTAGAACTGTTACCACAAATAAAATAGTCTCTCTGGGTATGATAACTTAATACTACTAGTAATTAAGCAACTCTTTTCCCCCTCTCCAAAAATAAGTGGGATGAATTATTGCTACCTCTATTTTGATTTAGAATTCATTTCAATGTTTTGTTTTAACAGGTAGCAGATATCAAGAGGGTCAACAATCTCATCAGCGATCAAGACTTTTTTGCCCTTAGGTCTGTCAAAATTCCAGTAAAAAAGTTTAGTTCATTGACTGAAACACTTTATCCTCCAAAAGGAAGACAAGCTTCACGTCCTTCATCTGTTCAATACGTTCCAGAGCAACAGGAAATTTTGTCACTTAGTGATTCTTTTTCTTCCACGGAGTCAGCTGGTAGCTTTTTAAAAGAAGTAGACCGAGACATAGAACAATTAGTAAAATGTACAGACACCAAAAGAGAGAACCTTAACGAGGTGGTGTCTGCCTTAACAGCACAACAGATACGTTTTGAACCTGATAACAAAAACATTCAACGTAAGGATCCTTATTATGGAGCAGACTGGGGAATAGGCTGGTGGGCAGCTGTAGTGATAATGCTGATAGTGGGTATAATAACGCCAGTATTTTACTTGCTCTATTATGAAATTTTAGCTAAAGTGGATGTTAGTCACCATTCAACAGTGGATTCTACACATTTGCATTCAGGAGTCACACCTCCATCACAGCAGAGAGAAATGGAAAATGGAATTGCTCCAACTAAAGGAATACCATTTGGCCAACAAGATGATCATAAACTGCATAGTCACAATTCTCAGCCTCCTGTTGCTCAACACAAAACATAGCAATTAGCTCGTAATTACAGTGTTTGTGGTCACAGGTTCATCTGGAGTGTGATAAATCTATTATATTCAATAACCACTTCAAAAGCAGAAATTAGGAAGATTGAAGATGCCTTTGTTTTTCAGGGTTTTGGTGTTTTGTTTTTTTGAGCCATTTACAAATGGATTGAGTATAAAATACCTGCAGTTGTTAGTTGTTGATATCGAGAACAGTAAATTTATATGTTGTATCAATGTTTAAAGCAAAAATGTATTTTGTGTGTCTGGGAAGTTCTTAACTTGGAAAACATCATTTTTCTTATTCAAGACTAGTTATGTTTAAATTTTATTTAAATAATTCTTAAGGTTATTAATGTTTATTAAGTAAAAAATGATAACACCAGATATCTGCAACTGAAGACAATTTACTGTGGACCATCAAATTATTTAGTTGCAAAACTTTGATTCTTAAATTATTTATGATAGCACATAATTCTCTATTTTAAAACTTTTGAAAACAAGTGTAGCACATATGCTATGAAGACTATAAGTAGACACAGAAGTAGGAAAGTGATGTGTGATGTCTGTAATAGAGGCTAAGATAGAAATTAAATATTTTAAAGCCCTGAAATGTCAGGGCTTATGGTTGAAAATTTGCCAATTGATCACTAGAACACTGGATTAAGTAAAAAACCTAAAGTGATCTTTGTCTCTTAAAAAGAGTGCTGCCTCCATTTTTAATTTTTAAGTCATATTGGCCTCTGATATTTGTAAGCATTTTTGCAGTTCTTTGAAAAGTGTCGTTATACATGTACAGGTTAGCATTATTTAGAAAATTTCCTACATACTGTGATAAGATGTTGCTGTGTTACATATGGTAACATGCCTTAATTACATTTAATGCCTTATTAAATATATAAGCTAACATTTTTAGAATTAAAAGGCATTATTTCAGATGGTCCCGTGGGATTCATTACATAGGCTGTATAAATTTACCTTCACTTTCACTATCAAGCACAAATTAATGGGGTCAAAACAAGTTTTCATGTTTGCCTCTGATGTCTGTTGCAGAAAATGGTTCATTAAGCAAAACAAGAGTAAAGACATCTTTGGCAATAGCAATAACACACCTTTATTTATTGATACCTTAAACTTTTCAAAGAGAAAATGTTTAACTTAAATCTTTTTTCCCTTTGAACTATAGCACGAAATTGGGGAACAGAAGCCAAAAGTGTACAGGGCCACTTTTTAAAATTACTATGGATCTGCCAGATAAACATTTGCATACTGATTTCATATAGTTTTTTAAAGTATGTGTTTTAAAAATGTAACTAAAATGATTCATTAGAAACAAGAATTGGTGGAATCTGGATTGCCTGTTTTATGTATAATAAAGTGTGTACCTTAAGCTCTGTAATACCACCTCATTTTCTGGGCATTATTTCCTAATTTTAATGTTTCAGCTTTTGAGCACTTTGTATTTCAAACTAATCTTGATACAAAGTGGTGTGAATAAATATATGTGGTAAATAGGATTTCATGTATCTTCAGCAGCATAGTGTAAAAAGACAGGGCAAGGATGTGAAATATTAAAACCTTTGCATGTTTTGAGGACCTTAGATAATGACCAAAAAGTATTAATGTGGAAATTGTAGCAAATAGATTCTTTGAGTAACTCTTTTAGTTTAAAATGTAAAAAATTATTTTAATGTGCCTTGGGCATCTTGAAAGGAGGAGTGTGATCTTTGTAATTTATGCTCAGTGTCAACTTGTATTAAGCCTGCTGAAGAATAAGTTTTAGGGAAGAAAATACCAGTATTTTAAGATAGAATAGACTAGATGTCCTTTGAAGAACTTTTTTTTACATTAAAGTGATGAAATTATGGAAAGTCAGTGATTCCTTTTTGCTAGTGGTACTTTGAATTAAAGAGGTCTGATTCCCAGGATAAGTTATTTTTAAAGTAGTGAGATGTACTGTGTATTTATTAGTGTCCTGTTCCTTAAAATACACATTATACCTGAATTATATATTTTTAATTGAATATAATTTGAATTATAATTCTATATTATATATAGAATTATAGATTCTAATTGTGTCATTTTTAAAAGAAAAATTTCTAAACATTTAGTAGAGAATAATTTAGCTTTTAAAAAGTACTAATATACCTCAAAACTTTAGCAAATGTAGATTACTTTGTAAAACTTAAGAAAAATTGTGGATTTTAATTGTGTTGAAACCCTTGTTTGAATTTACTTTGAGATTTCACAGAAGATATGCCGTGTGTATGTATGTGTGTGTATACATATACATACATACATATATATATATATATATGAAAGTAACTGTGTGTGAATCCTTGGATTTGGTTCACTTAAAAATTAGAGTTACAAGTGAAGAAAAATCTATTTAGGACAGATTTTCTTTTAAGTCGGTACCAATGGTTAAGGTTGTTTTGAATTAAGGGATGCTGTTTAAGGAAATTTGATGAGTCTACTGGACACATTAAGAATTAGAAGACTGCTGTGTTAAATTAACTTCCTTATCAGAGGACTCTGTTTTCTAAAGCTTTTTCTTTTTCTGGACTCTACTTGCTGTTCAGTGGCCTGAAGAGTTCTTTCAGTGAACCATAATGGTTCATTAATTAACAATTATTTCTTTTATCTACTAAAATTACCTACTTGGGAATATGAAGGATACAGCTGGAGTTTTAGAAATATGAGGGATTCAGTCAAAGTGCTATAGGTTAAGGTGGAGTTTTTAGAAGTATTTAAATGGCACTTTGTGATGGGAATCATTATTTGCAATTACAACTGTTGCTCAGGAAGTTAGTATTTTTCTATTAAGTATGCATATTGCACTGTTAGATCATAGAAATATCTGAATGCAATATTTAATTATATATGCAAACACTATAAATCTTTTGTATAATGTATTTTATACAAATGCAAAATGGAATTATAGAGCATTATTAGTATGTACATTTGTAAAACTGGTTTTTAAAACTTTTTGCCCCTTTTCATATTTTAAAAGGATCTTAAAAATAAAGTTTCTATTTTATTATTCAATCTAAAATGGAAGCTGGTGAATTTAATTGAATAAAGCAAACCTTTTCTCTTTCAAACTAGTTGACATAAAGACCCTAATGCACTATGTATCCTGCCCATGTGGCTTGGTGGTTGAGTGTCGACCCATGAACTAGGTCAGGGCACATGCCTGGGTTACAGCCTTAATCCCTAGTAGGGGTTGAAAAGGAGGCAGGCAATCGGTGATTCATTCATGTTTCTCCCTCTCCCTTTCTCTGAAATCAATTAAAATAAAAATGAAAAAACACTAAGATAGATTGAGTTGCCAAAGGTTTACTAATTCAAATTTCTCCCTGGTTATACTGAAACAAAATCCACTGAATTACTTATAGGATGTAAATAAAAACAAATTTCAGAGGAATGTCCTTTGAGGCATCCTGGATCTAAGGGAAGACCTCATAAAGCACGGTTCAGAACTTAGCAAGTTGTAGATCAGTCATATAATAATGTGCTCTACTTATGTGCAAATTTTATTATGAAACAAACTTTTCTATTTAATTTTTTAAAAATTAGCAAAAGAATTGAAGTTCTTTGTAGTTTTTATTTAATGGAGGAATTTAATCTTTTTAACCATTTTTACTATCATCTTGCCCTTAAAACTAATTAATCTTTTTTTATATAAAAAAGAAAGTTTTTACTAACTCCAGAACTTCTACCCATATTAAAGGCAAGCCACTGACACTGTACATTTGAGGTAGTTGGGAAGGAAGATTAATAATCCTCTGAATTTGTTAGCAGTCTCTTGTATGCAGTGTTCATCAGTCCATGATGCTAGTGATCACACTGATGTTACACTGGCTGCCAAACCTCTTAGTTTGTTATCATGACTGTAATTACCTTGAGTTCCCTGTTAATGTGTGCAAGAATATTTGATACTGGCATCCCTGCCTACATGCAGTTACACTGATCACACTGATGTTACACTGGCTGCCAAACTTCTTAGTTTGTTATCATGATTGTAATTACCTTGTGTTCCCTGTTAATGTGTGCAAGAATATTTGATACTGGCATCCCTGCCTACTATGCAGTTACTTTACCAGATATAATCTGTATTAATAAATTACTTTATCAAATATAAATTCAAAATAAAACAGGACACAATTTTGTATGAATTTAATATATAAACACAGAAAAATAAACCCTAAAGCAACAAAACAAAATTGTTAGCGATTTTAAAGACTCTTCACCAACAAGTACTCTTATGTATGAGATACTATCTCTGCATTAAAGTTTACCTTCCTATGGAATAACTTCACAGTCTGACATTTTAAGCTATAAAAATAAGATTCATGCTGGCAAAGGAACTTGTAAACATTCTGTCCTCAACTTTTCCAAAGGAGACAGTGTACTCAGGGGAGAAGGCTGGGGCTTCCCAAAGCTAACACCTGCCCAAGGGCTGTGGTACCACCTGCAGGTCTAAAATGTTGAAGAGATGAAAGCTGGGGAGAAAAACACTATCTTTGGTGCATCTGCCTTATTCAAGCAGTTATCTGTAGATTTACAACAAGTAAACAGAAGCACAGAGATAAGCTTTATAAATTAAATATTAGGTTAAGATACTAAGGAAGTGAGAGAATAAAACAGCTATGTTAAGTACTAATCCTAAATGACAGCCCATTACAACTAAAGTGAGGTCCTGGCCGGTTTGGCTCGGTAGATGGAGTGTCTGCCTGCGGACTGAAGGATCCCAGGTTCATACTGGTCAGGGGCATGTACCTTGGTTGCGGGCACGTCGCAGGGGGTGAGGGGGGGAGTTGGTGGTGGTGCAGGAGGCAGCTGATTGATGTTTCTCTCTCATTGATGTTTCTGACTCTCTGTCCCTCTCCCTTCCTCTCTATAAGAAATCAATAAAATATATATATTTTTTAATTTAAGTTTCTACTCTAAGTACAATCAATTGCTGCTTTAAAGTAGACCTCATGTTTTCCATTTAAAATTTTTTGTAAGTTTCTTTAAAGGAAAACATATAAACAACATAAGCACTGAACTAATAATGGCCCTCATCCATCTTGAATTATCTGAGGAAGTATTACAATCAAAAGGGATCTTTTTCCTGAGAAAGCCAGTTTACAAAATGGCACAAGACTATATAAAATTTCCCCACCAGAATACAAGATGGGAAAGTCAGGTTACAATATATTTTGTGAGGAAAACATGTTTGTTTCTCAAAACAGTGTTTTCAATCACTACAAGCTATAATTTTTTAGAGGGCCAGACACATTTAAGTAAAGTAGAAATTATTTCTAGATATTAAGAGAATGGGTACATATGGTAAATTTTGGTTGGTCTTAAATAGTTTTTACAGAAAACCAAACTCAATTTCAAGGTTGAGTTTAATAGTAGGGGTAGAAATAGAGTCTAGGGCTCCAATTCTCAGGTTAGAAGGTAATAGGTGATACCTTCCCAAAAGGGACAAATAAAAATTTCTTTTGGTAGGTAATAATAAAAAATATTTTTTGAAATATATAATATGACTTCCCTTCAAAATCTTTGGCATTTGTGAGTCTGTAGAGGCTAAGGTTTTTAGGTATTTCCCCCATTCCCAATATAAAATGTCAGGGAGGCTAGTTTTTAATTAAGACAAAAAAGGTTAATCTTAGTTTCAAAGAGACCTGAGTGTTATTCTGCACTTTATATAAACCAATTGGATGGCTATAAAGTCCTTTGAAATATAAGAGGCCATCATGCCTCGAAGGTTGCACACATGCATTCTGCAGTGAGATTTATGTGACTACGCTTTTATAAAGTACAAATTTAAATGTCTAATGTTTCATAAGCCAAATTATTTGAAATATCAAACTTATTACAGTGAGATGATGATTACTTCACATAATGTGTGGTATGAAGTCACCAAATTTAAGTATTTTTAATATTCCTCCCAAGTTTTTGCACTTGGCTGAGATGTAAGCTAGAAAATTAATATAGCTCGTCCTAACCGGTTTGGCTCAGTGGACAGAGCACCGGCCTGCGGACTGAAGGGTCCTGGTTCGATTCTGGTCAAGGGCATGTACCTTGGTTGTGGGCACATCCCCAGTGGGGAGTGTGCAGGAGGCAGCTGATCGATGTGTCTCATTGATCTTTCTATCCCTCTCTCTTCCTCTCTGTAAAAAAATCAATAAAATATACTTTAAAAAATTTATATAGCTCTGACTGATATTTTTCTGTGTATATTTTTTTATCACAAACTTCTAATCTCATATGCAATTTTAAGAACGCAGGTAGGTTTATGTAGTCATCATGTAGTAGCACAGAACATACCATGTAAAAGTAAAAAGTAAAATTATTTTCAAGTTTCTTTGTTTTTAAAGTGCTCCATGTGCAGTATTAAATCAACTTTCAGGTTACAGAATTCCATTATGATGACAAGTAATAGTTTTATAAAAGATCAGCAAGCAGTTAAATAAAATAATTTGTTCAAGTATGAATATGTAGATTAAAAGATGCAAAAACTCTTTAGGCATATTCTAATCCAAATAATACCAAAAATAAAATTTTCACTTGAATACTTAAGAGGCATAAAGAGGTGCGGACAAGGAATGTCAGTGTCAGAGACTAATTGGTAAAGTAACTAGTGTGTGAACTCAAAATGGTTCCGAATATTTTGGTAACAAATATTGTCAACAAAACAGAAACAAAAATACTTACTCATTCCTTATCAGAAATAAGAAAATAAATCTGTCCAAATGTTCAGAAGCTGTATCATAGAAATATTTTTGGGGAAACTTCATAGCTAATAGGTTGCTTCATCCATGTTGTCATCACTGTCTACGATAAAATCATCTCCATTGTCAAAGTATGAATTAATGTAGTCATTTTCCTAAGAGAAATGATAGAGTCCTCATTTAATGAGTAGTAACATTATTATTAAGAAACACATGTAGGCTATCCCTTTAAATTTACAAATATCAAATCCTATATAATAAAAGTCTAATATGCAAATCGACTATATAGTGGAATAACCCGTTGCTATGATGCACACTGACCACCACAGGGCAGATGCTCAATTGCCCCCGGTGGTCAGTGCGCTCCCACAGGGAGAGTGCACTCAGCTAGAAGCCCTGAACCAGGCTCACAGCTGGCAAGCACAGCAGCAGTGCAGGAGCCTCTCCCGCCTCCACAGCAGCGCTAATGATGTCTGACTGCAGCTTAGGCCTGCTTCCCCCAGGGAGCGGGCCTAAGCCGGCAGTCAGATATCCCCCAATGGCTCCTGAACCACAAGAGAGCACAGGCTGGGCTGAGGTATCCCCGCAAGTGTATGAATTTCATGCACCAGGCCTCTAGTTTAGGTAATAAAATACATCAGGTTTAAAAGGAATCTCTGCTATGCTATCTGCTTAGAAAACACATTAGCTTTTACTTGCATCTACCTGTGCTGCTTTCTTCAAGACCAACAACTCTTTTGTTCTCAGGCATCTACTAGCTAAGAGAACATGAAGGGATGGCTATTACACTTTAGTAGGATGACACATTTAATTCATTAAACCTCAGTGGGATGATATATGGTTAGCTATAACACTAAGCACTTATTTAAAATAAATGTACAGACACTTATGGAACTGCCATTTGACCCCAATGATCCCACTTCTGGGACTATATCCTAAGAATCCTGAAACACAAATCAAAAAAGTATATGCACTTATGCTCATAGCAGCATTATTTACAATAGCTACGATTTGGAAACAGCCAAGGGCCCATCAGTAAATGAGTGGATAAAAAACCTGTATTAGATTTACACAATGGAATACTACGCAACTGTAAAAAGGAAGGAGCTCCTATCTTTTGAGTCAACACAGATGGACCTGGAGATGATTATGCTGAGCTAGTTAGAAAAAGACAGATATCACATGGTCTCACATGTGGAATCTAATGAACAAAATAAACTAGGGAACAAAATAGCTCCAATTGTATGGATGCATGGAACAGAATAACAGATCTCCATTGGGCTAGGAGTGTGTAGGGGAGAGGAAGAAATTAACCAAAAAACATACGCATATATGCATAATCCATGGAAACAGACAATATCATGGGGAAGGCCTGGAGTGGGGGTAGACAGAGGGAGGCAAAAAGAAAGAAAATGGGAGACATCTGTAACACTGTGAGCAATAAAAAAAATAGTAATTTATATCTGAATATAAAAGTGGTGCATGACTATATTATACAACACTTTTAAAATATAAAGATTAAAAGACATTTAAGAAAATTACTAACCAACTGCAATGTATGGACTGTATTTGGATTTTGATTGGAACCATTTTTTTAAGACAATCTAACAAATTTGAACAATTGATTAAAATTTGATATTAAGGAATTATATTTCATGCGTTAGAAATAATACTGATTCTGTAATATTGTTAAAGAGTTCTTGTTTTTGAGAACATACTGAGATGTTTATGGATCAAATGATACAATGCCTAGGATCAAATGATAATAATCCAAGGTAGATGGGTTTTGAAGTGGGGGAAATAGGAACAGACTGGGTGGGTGAATGACTGAAAGATCAGTAATACTTTGATCATTGTTAAAGCTGAACTATTATTTTAAGTCACTAAATTTTTGCCACAATAATAAATTTAATGTCCACATCTCTACTCTCTACAGTAGGAAATAGGGTCTATTCCCAAAAGAAAGTCTCCTGGATATCATCTTATTTAGTATCTCCATAATGGATTTTTATATATAAATTTATATAAATAATGCAAGAAAGGTAATTTGTCATTACTTTGTCTTTCCTAAAAACTGTAAGTTTGTGTATCTGGCTAAGACCCTTACCATTTCCAGGAAGTTGGGTTGGCTTTCTAGTGCCAAGTAATCCAACAATATTTGGAAACTGGCTGAAGCCTGAAGCCAATGTATGGAGGAGGCATGGCATGGCTGAGAGGTTGAAAATATGGAAAAGGAAATGACATAGGCGTAAGGTCTCAATAAAGGGAAGGACAATTAGCCTTCAACAGGATGAAGTATGTTTCTCTTTTTCCATTGATTAAAAAAAAGAGAAGGAGGGAAGATAGCTAGTTTGAAGGCAGAAAAAATGAAATAAAACAGAGTTTTCTCGCCGAAACCGGTTTGGCTCAGTAGATAGAGCGTCGGCCTGAGAACTGAAGAATCCCGGGTTTGATTCCAGTGAAGGGCATGTACCTGGGTTGCGGACACATCCCCAGTAGGAGGTGTGCAAGAGGCAGCTGATCGAGGATTCTCTCTCCTCGATGTTTCTAACTCTCTATACCTCTTCTTTCCTCTTTGTAAAAAATCAATAAAATATATTAAACAAACAAACAAAAACAAAAAAAACAGAGTTTTCTCTTGATTTTATTTTCTGTGTGAAGTTGTATGCTATATCTGCTAAAAGTGAAATAAAAGATAGTCAAGAAAAGGGATTAAGAAGAAAGATGATCGAAAATACTTGCAATGGAGAGCTGACTTGACAAGAGAAACAGAAATGTGTTAGGTAGCCAAATGGGACTAGCGTTTTTTGTTTTGTTTTTTAAGGAGCATCAGTTTTTATGATTCTTCAGAAAAGCTCAAAAGGCAGATTTGGAAGGAAAAGGAGGGAGAAAATGCAACTGATCAAGTTTGCTTTGCTCTTAAGTATGTGCTGCGAGACCAAGACAAGAACAATAGCCACAAAGAAGTTGAAGGGTGAGCAAGGGCTCCTGAAGGAAGGAAATAAAGACAGGGAGCCAATACAGCAGAGAGAGAGAGGATCAGAGGGTTTGGTAGTTTTAATCATGTCAGCTCAGAGATAAAGTGAATGATCTGGAAAGAAAACTGGAGGCAAATGTGATACGTTTAATTTTAAAATGTCTAGAGTTAAAATTTATCTGGAAGAATAAACAAACAATACTCAGAAAAATCCTGAAAAAGGGTAACATACCCTAAAAATACTAGATTTTAGTCATTAGGACAGCGATGGTTCCAAAATAAAACAATGGAATAGAGTCCAGAAATATGACTAAGTAGATGTGGGAATCTAACAGTTAATTAAGGAGAATTTCAAATCAATGAAGAAAGCAAATTATTTCATAACTGAGGTTACCAGTTGGCTAGATATTTGGAAACAAGTAAAAAATAGACCCATATCTCTCCTTTTACACAAACATAAATTTCAAAAGAATATAAAATTTAATGCAAAATAATTAAAGCAAATAATAAAGATTTCATAGTTGGAAGAGTTTCAGGGGAAGACTCAGTGTGGTGTGAGAAGCTGAAATGGAGTGAAGACAAAGGTCACTGGAAAGGAGAAGAAACTCTCAGCCTAGGGTTACTGCCTGAAGTCTCTGTAAGTCCCAACGCGGCACGGCCAACCAAGTCACCCTGCTCAAAAATATCTGGAATGATTCCAGCTTATTTTGAAACATACCGTTTCTCAAAGTTGGAAATCTAAAATCCAAAACACTGACTCCTAACTCAGTCAGATACCTGAGGTTGGATTATGTTTCCCTAGTGTCTACCTGCACTTTGTGGTATAGGGATTTACCCCTCAGACCTACATGACTAAGCCCTTAACTGTGATTTAAAATTTTATGTCAATACATTTTAATTAAATCAATCATCAATTTCCTTAACTGATGGACTTGCACTTACAAAGTTGCCTATCATTTTATTTTTAACTCCTATATTCAATTTGTCATCATTATAACAACTATGCTACAAAAATTCTCTTGATAGAAAGGAATTGATGCCAGTGATAAAAATATGCCCCTGGTTCCCATCAACTTGGTGCTCCTTTTAACCTATTCCATATATCTGACTCCTTAAGGGATAATTCTTAATCTTAATTAATTTTGTTATTCTTACAAAATAGACCATTACCTCTTCTTGCTCTTCTTCATCATATTCCTCTTGTTCTGCAGCATCATCTTCCTCCTCCTCCTCATCTTCCTTACTTTTCTCCTTGCTTCCTTCTTTCTCTTCATTTTCCTCATCTGATTTTTCACCATCACCTTTCTTTTCCAATTCCTGTTATAAAGGAACTTCATTAAATTTCCTTGTAAACCACTAGACTTTGACATCCCTGCTCAGCCTCAAGAGAACAGTTACCTATCACCATATTCTAATCCTCCCTTACCAAGACCTGGGCATCATACAGGAAATTGTGAGTTAATCCAAGAAAGGAGGAACTCGCTGTCTTATCATGACTAGAGTTTTATTTTATTTCATTACTTCATAATTGGGTTCCAGGTGATGCTGGGGGATCAGCTCCATACACAGTGCTTTATTTTTGTGATTTTTATCATACCTCAGTCAAAAGTATTGAATTGACTCAGTTTATGGAGAACTTTCAAAATGTTCTTTCGTTTCCTTCTTACATAGAAAGAGAATAGAGAATGTTATAGTGCTATTTCCAAATGTCTATGTTTTATTTTATAAGTAAAATTATTTAAAACAATATCAAGTCATTTTGGGGTGAGTTATCCTATTTGTAGATTATCTATGCCTTTTTATTTCTTTTCTTCATTATTTACTTCCCATTTCCCAGGAATTTTGCTTCTTAATTAGAAAAAAAGAAAGATTAACTCAACTCAGGTCAATATTAGCACTTATTAACAACTCTGTGAGAGGAGGCAAAAGAGAGATACAGAGTTAGAAAACTTTGATTGCCTGATGATTCTACTTATCCACTCTGTTAAAATCACTACGGTATCATCTCATAACTTTAACAAATACCCATATTCTATTATGAATATCAACAATATTCTTCTATTTGATAAAAAATGTGCTGTTTCATTGCTGTCATTATTCGATCACTAAAATGTTCTACATTAATTTGTACAAGTGATAGGATTTCACAAACTTTCTAGGAGGTGGGCGCAGCAATAATTTCACATATTAATATTCATAATTAAGGCATAAGATCACGTTAGTTAAGATGTGTATATTCCTAAACAGTAATCATAACACTAATTCATAAATTTGCAAATATCCCATCCTATTATATTTGCTTAGTAGAGTAGATACAGAGATAAAAACACATTTTACATTTGGAGCAATTATAACTTAGTCATTCCATTATTGGTTCATAAATACTTATTTTTAGAAATTTATTACATTCAAATTTGAATTTAAGGAAATCAAAGGCAACAAAAAACTACATCAGATAAACTCAGTTTCTCATCAAAATTCAAACTCTACTTTCCTGTCACTTGACCCCACTAAGAACAAAAAAGACCTCTTATCTTCATACTGATCCATCTTGCCTTATAACTTATTACTACAATGGAATGTGTGAAAGTTTTATAAGTGGCAAGCCTTTGGGAAAATGCAAGTAAACAAAATCTTAATTATAGGTATTTTAAAGTGTCTATAAATACACACACACACACACACACACACACACACACACACACACACATTTCTTTCTGCCATCTTTCCATGCTACCATAATGGTGTACATGAATGTTCTGGCTGATGCTCTCAGGATTATGAACAATGCCAAAAAGAAGGCAAGCCGAAACCAGTTTGGCTCAGTGGATTGAGCGTTGGCCTGGGGACTGAAAGGTCCCAGGTTTAATCCCGGTCAAGGGCATGTACCTGGGTTGCGGGCACATCCCCAATAGAAGGTGTGCATGAGGGAGCTGATCGATGATTCTCTCTCATCGATGTTTCTATCTATCCCTCTCTCTTCCTCTCTGTAAAAAATCAATAAAATATATTTTTTTAAAAAAAGAAGAAAAAAAGAAAAAAAAAAAAAAAAAAAAGAAGAAGGCAATCTCCAGGTACTTATTAGGCCGTGCTCCAAAGTCATCTGATTTCTAACTATGATGATGAAGCATGGTCACATTGGCAAATTTGAAATTATTAATGACCAGAGCTGAGAAATACGTTGTAAAACTCCAGGCAGGTTGAACAAGTGTGGAGTAATCAGCCCTAGATTTGATGTGCAACTCAAAAGATCTAGAGAAATGGCAGAATAATCTGCTCCTATCCTATCAGTTTGCTTTCATTGTACTGACAACCTCAGTGGGCATCACGGGCCATGAAGAAGCAAGACGAAAACATACAGGAGGGCAAGTCCTGGAATTATTATTCTAGGGATGTAATACATACATGCAAACACAATGCCTCAATGGACAAAATATATATATACACACACACATATAGAATGATGCTATGTTAATATTAATTAATAGATGGATTTTTTTATTTTCTGTTTTAATGAAAACATAAATTTGTGTAGCTAAAAGGGAATTGTATTTAACTATGTGCAAGGTATGTATTGCATTTGAAAAATCATGCTATTAGCTATTATTTTGTAATTAGCAAGGAAATTATTTAAACTAGTTATACAGAAATATAAAATTCATTCCATACTTTATATTCATTATTGCCACCTCAAATACCTTTAATTAAAAAAAAAAATGTTTCCATTGATTTCAGAGAGAGGGAGAGGGAGAAATAAAAACATCATAGAAACATCAATGATGAGAACTATTGACTGGCTACCTTCTGCACACCCTCTACTGGGTATTGGACCCGCAAACCTGGCATGTGCCTAGACCAGGAACAGAATCGTGATCTCCTGGTTCATGGGTCAACAACACTCAACCACTGAGCAACACAGGCTGGGCTCCAATACCTTTAGATAAATAGCTTTAATTTTATTTTTATGACATAGACCTAAATGAAACCCATAAAATACCCGATGAGTTAACCAATAGCAGATTTATGGAATTTAAAAAATTATCTAAGTGCTACACACATTGTCTCATTACTTCATTACTTTATTTATTTATTTATTTATTTATTTATTTATTTATTTATTTATTTTTGCAGTAAGCTACTAGTTTTGGTTCATCTTCAGTGTTTCCCAAAGTGTGGTACGCATACCCCCAGGAGTACGGGAAGAGTTTGGTGGGGGTTCAGGTTGCACGGAAGTTTGGTAGGGATATGACTGCACCGTGCTTAGCTGCGCCTAATTCTACGTTCTCATGAGTATGAGGGGTACTCAGCCTTACGAAAATTATAGAAGGGGTACACATATGTCAAAAGTTTGGGAAACACTGATCTACATAATAGTTTCCATTTTATCTTCTATGAGATTTAACTATTTAGCCTACTACTTTACATATTTGTATTAAGAATAATGTGAATAATATAATGAGAAAACACTTTGAAAACGTTTAATTTACAGACAGAACATAGTTCTTCTAGTTTAAATATTAAATGACCACCCTATTACTAGAATAGTTCTCTCTGTGAGTTATGCCAAATAGGAAGCTCAAAGATTAGTTTACTGGCGGCTGGTGATTCACACATTAATGATGAAATCTGAGTGTATGTCACTCCTCTCCATCCACAGCAGTTTTATTAAAATAAGACTTACAACTACTTTGGTTGAAAAAATGAATAGTAACAGAGTCATCTGGAAGCTAATTTTGTTCTATTAAAACTGCTCATTGGAGTTTTTAGATTTGAAACTCCAGTTTTAACAATGTTTGTACTGGAAAAGTTCTTCCAATGCAGGGACTAAAAAAACAATTTGTCCTGATGAGAAACTGCATTCAGAGGTCCAAATCAATCTTCCTCATAGCACATGCCAGCTTAGCAACTCATTTCCAGGAAGCCTTACGAACAGTCAGAATTTGTGTTCAATCAATGCAAGTTGGGTAGGTCTGCAATCCCATCCATCCGTTCACTACAGTTAAACCTGACAGTTAACGCTATTATTCCAACACTATTCCTCTTAGTTTTATTTTCAGCCATGTTTTCTCCAGCTCAAGCACTGGACAAAATAAAATATCAAAAATACGAGTTTCTGGAGGATCCAAGATGGCTGCTCGGGTAGACATCTAGCCGCGGCAGCACACAACAATTTCAATGGAATACAACTAAAATGTAGAGTGGACATTGCCCAGAGCTACAGGTAATCGACTGACTGAAATTTCTACAACAAGAAGGAAAGAGAAAACCAGAAAGAAAATCAGAGGAGCTGAAAAAAAAGCCTAAGGTACGGAGACATGCTGCGCGCGCCTACCCGCCCGCACGCGCGCACAGAGAGGTCGCAGCCGGAGAGGAGGAGAGGGCGGGGAGCCGCCTTTCCTTCCCTAGCAGGAAGGAAATAAAACCCCCAGCCTGGGCTGAACCCCCGAACCGACAGCGCTGAGCCCCCCCGAACCGGCAGCGCTGAGCCCCAGTTATGGGCCAGACCCTGGGGACCCAGGCTCCGGCAGGAGGAGACGGGGCCGTGAGGCGGAAAAACGGCGAAAGGCAGGGCCCCGGGAGTCGCGCGCAATGCGCGCAGAGGACTGAATGTTGACTCTGATGCTGGGTTGCCCTAGCCGGAAGAAACAAGGCCTCCGGCGGCGCTGAGCCTCAGTCCGGACTGCTCCGAACCCCAGTTCTGGGCCAATCCCTGGGGACCCAGGCTCAGGCAGAGGGAGACGGGGCTGTGAGGTGGAGTCCGGGAAGAGCGGCGAAAGGCCGGGCCCCCGGGACTCTCGCAAACTGCGCGCAGAGGACAGTCTGTGGGACTCCCGCAAACTGCGCGCAGAGGACAGTCTGTAGGCAAACTGCGCGCAGAGGACAGTCTGTGGGACTCGCTCAAACTGCGCGCAGAGGACAGTCTGTTGACTCTGATGCTGGACTTCCCTAGCGGGAAGGAGAAAAAAAAAGCTCTAGGCTGGGGGAACGTGGAGGGGAGCGGAAGCCCCTGCCGGACGCCAGCCAACCGGGCACCAGCAAGGAGGCGGGCCACGGGGCCCCTGGGGGCGTGGGTGCCCCTGAGCCTTTGACCACTGAGCTCGGGCAATGGAGCCAAGGCCGGGGGCTGCTTCCTGGGCGGCGCCGCCCCAGCAACAGGCTGAAGCAGCACAGGAGCCCGCGGAGAACAAAGGGGTGCCACAGGCCAACCTGCTGAGCTCCCAGGACAAGGAGGAAGAAACCAAAGAAGTTCTCAATGTGAAGAAATCAAGTGAGAGCAAAAAATAGTAAAATTACTTAAGAAAGAATACAAAGAAGATCTTGAAAAATCAAAGACTAAGTCAGAACTCAACTCACCAGCCAACATTGCAACATAAATGCGTTTTAAAAAAGAAAAAAAAAGGACAGAATGTTGGAACAGCGACGGCCAGGCCTAGAGTGGCCAGGCACAAGGCAGTGGCAGCCAGACCCGGAGCAGCAACGGCCAGGCCCCAGAACAACAGCAGCCAGAACCAGAGCATCAACAGCCAGCACTGGAGTAGCCAGTCCTGGGGCAGTGGCAGCCAGGCATGAGGCGGAGGCGGCCAAGCCCAGGGTGGCCAGTCCAAGAACACCCAGACCCAGAGTGGCCGGGCCCGAAGAAGCCGGGCCCAGAGCAGCCGGGGTGGGAGCAGCCAGACCCAGAACAGCAGTAGCCAAGCCCAGAGCATCCAGGTCGGGAGTGGCCAGGCTCGGAGCGGCCGGGCCCGGGGCAGCCGGGCCCAGAGCAGCCGGGTCAGGTGCGGCCAGGCCCGGAGCAGCAGCTGCCAGGCTGGGAGCGGCCAGGCCCGGGGGAGCAGTCGGGTCGGGTGCGGCCAGGCCCGGAGCAGCGGCTGCCAGGCTGGGAGCGGCCAGGCCCGGGGGAGCAGGCGGGTCGGGTGCGGCCAGGCCCGGAGCAGCGGCTGCCAGGCTGGGAGCGGCCAGGCCCGGGGGAGCAGGCGGGGCTGGTGCGGCCAGGCCCGGAGCAGCGGCTGCCAGGCTGGGAGCGGCCAGGCCCGGGGGAGCAGGCGGGGCTGGTGCGGCCAGGCCCGGAGCAGCGGCTGCCAGGCTGGGAGCGGCCAGGCCCGGGGGAGCAGGCGGGGCTGGTGCGGCCAGGCCCGGAGCAGCGGCTGCCAGGCTGGGAGCGGCCAGGCCCGGGGGAGCAGCCGGGTCGGGTGCGGCCAGGCCCGGAGCAGCGGCTGCCAGGCTGGGAGCGGCCAGGCCCGGGGGAGCAGGCGGGGCTGGTGCGGCCAGGCCCGGAGCAGCGGCTGCCAGGCTGGGAGCGGCCAGGCCCGGGGGAGCAGGCGGGGCTGGTGCGGCCAGGCCCGGAGCAGCGGCTGCCAGGCTGGGAGCGGCCAGGCCCGGGGGAGCAGGCGGGGCTGGTGCGGCCAGGCCCGGAGCAGCGGCTGCCAGGCTGGGAGCGGCCAGGCCCGGGGGAGCAGGCGGGGCTGGTGCGGCCAGGCCCGGAGCAGCGGCTGCCAGGCTGGGAGCGGCCAGGCCCGGGGGAGCAGCCGGGTCGGGTGCGGCCAGGCCCGGAGCAGCGGCTGCCAGGCTGGGAGCGGCCAGGCCCGGTGGAGCAGCCGGGTCGGGTGCGGCCAGGCCCGGAGCAGCGGCTGCCAGGCTGGGAGCGGCCAGGCCCGGGGGAGCAGGCGGGGCTGGTGCGGCCAGGCCCGGAGCAGCGGCTGCCAGGCTGGGAGCGGCCAGGCCCGGGGGAGCAGGCGGGGCTGGTGCGGCCAGGCCCGGAGCAGCGGCTGCCAGGCTGGGAGCGGCCAGGCCCGGGGGAGCAGGCGGGGCTGGTGCGGCCAGGCCCGGAGCAGCGGCTGCCAGGCTGGGAGCGGCCAGGCCCGGGGGAGCAGGCGGGGCTGGTGCGGCCAGGCCCGGAGCAGCGGCTGCCAGGCTGGGAGCGGCCAGGCCCGGGGGAGCAGGCGGGGCTGGTGCGGCCAGGCCCGGAGCAGCGGCTGCCAGGCTGGGAGCGGCCAGGCCCGGGGGAGCAGGCGGGTCGGGTGCGGCCAGGCCCGGAGCAGCGGCTGCCAGGCTGGGAGCGGCCAGGCCCGGGGGAGCAGGCGGGTCGGGTGCGGCCAGGCCCGGAGCAGCGGCTGCCAGGCTGGGAGCGGCCAGGCCCGGAGCAGCAGCAGCCAAGTCCAGAGCAACTAGGTTGGGAGCGGCAGTGACCAGACCCGGAGCAGCTGGTTGTGGAATGAACCAGAGCAACAGAGGCCAGGCCCTGAGCAGCCAGGCCCAGAACAGCTCGCTCCTTGCCTGCCCCTGCCCCACGGCTGCTTCTCAGACATGGCTGGAAACTTTCGTGGGAACTTGAGTGTCTGCTGAATCAAGTGATGAAGGCTTAGATCTGGATGTGTTGAGTTAGTTTAGGACTGGGGTGTTGATCTGTGAGTGCCTTGGGTGGGGCCTGGATGAGGCTGGTTGACCTAGTGGGAAATGTCTTTTGTGTGAAGTGTATATTGGGCATGTGGAGGTATTATTGATATGAGAAAATGCTAAGTAACTGATTTACTATCTGAAAAGGGATTTACTATTGGGGAAATTGAGGGAAGAAGAGACTGAACATAAACTGCACCTATGGATGAGGACAATGGGGGATGGGGGGGGGGGCGGAGGGTGGGGTGGGAACCTGGTGGAGGGGGGAAGAAATGAGGAACCTTTGTAATAATATGAACAATAAAGATTGCTAAAAAAAAAAAAAAAAAAAAAAAAAAAAATAGCACCTCTGGGAATAAAATGTAACTGGTATTATGGCACTTAAACAATTAAAAAATATTGAGTGTAAAAAAAAAAAAAAAAAAAAAAAAAAAATCAATAAAAATATATTTTAAAAAATAAAAAAAAAAAAAAAAAAAAAATACGAGTTTCTGTTACCATCTAGCTGGCCAGCTTGACCAGGCAAGTAAAAGTTGTAAAGTAAGGAAGGGATAATAACATCCATCTCATATGTAAGGAATAATAATATCGCCTATTATAATGAAGTCTTAAAGACATAATGAATATAAATCAAAGAGCCTGGTAAATAATAAGGTTTCAATAAGTGCTGGTGGCCATCCTTATCATTATCCTTATTATCTACATCAATGCAAGGTATTACTGGCATGATACAATAAACTGGCATGCCCTTCATGGACAGTGATCTGTTAATATTAATCCATATAATACAATGCATATAACCACCATCCCAACAAACCCACTTCTAGAAATCAAGCCTACATGTGTGAAATGATATACTTGACATGAATTCAGCATTGTTTCTAATAATGAAACACTACATGAAACATAATGTCCATTAGTAGCATATTGATTAAAAAAATTATGGTTTGGTCTTATAGTGCAGCCAACAACAACAACAACAACAACAAAAAAGAGCCTAGACTATACAGATTGACCTGGAACTATCTTAAAGATAAATTTTAAGTGGTAAAATGAAAATGCATGAGTGTCTATGTTACCTTTTGTAATTAAAGAAACAAGTTGTGTTTGCTATGCATAAAATATTTCTGGAAGGATATATAAGAAACTTGTAACATTAATTGTCTACAGTAGAGGAACAGAACGGGTGGGGAAATTTTTAGTTAATTAAACTTTTGCATTTTATATCTTTTTTGTTTTGAAATATAAAAATAAGTTCTGTAACTTATGGCTTTCCCTAAATAAAATCTTCTACAATTAACATAAGAAAGAAGAAAAGTATTGAAAAAAAAGTACAAATACGACAATAGGAGAAAAACTGAAAGGTTTTTAAAAGAAATACGTTTGAGGTATGTGTTATGCAAGGGAAAAATAGAAACAGAGTGGAAAAGAAGGCAGGTGACAGAAGGTGAGGCAAGCTGACAGGCGGGTGAAAGAGAAGGCGAGATGTCCCTTATCACCCAGCCAGTGATGTCAAACCTCTCGGGTTACTTGTGTGCTGGGCTCGGATCTGCCAATTCCACATGTTATTAAAATGTCAGAAAAGGTGAAAAGGCTGAAGGCAGAGGCAGAATGACAATTTTTTCAGTTCACTTTTACAACAAGAAGGATACTTTACCTCAATTGTTTTCAATACATCTGCAGTATTAGTGAGTGAAGTGTCTTTGCCAGTGTTGTTCACCTTTTTGGATTTGGGACCTATTGAAGTAAAACCACTATTAACACATTTTTACTAGTAAATAATATCAATGGTATATTATGTTTCTTTGCCGTCTAACATGCTGCCTAGCATAGTGGTATGCCATACCAGGCCATCACATAATTTACAGACTGAATTGATTTTCTTAAAGAATAAAAATAAAACAAAAAAATCAACACACCTCACCAATTTTCCATGATGATAAGTAAACGATAATCAGCTAGAAGGATATCTTCTAAGACTGCAACTAGATATCATTTTACTAGTACTGAGAATCTGTATTGGCAATTAATGCCATTCAGGTCAAAACTGCTAAAATATCACCTCCAAAAGAGTCATTACAGGACCAGTGAAAAGCTCTCACAAATATATCACCTGCATTGGCTTCTTGTTCACTGATTAGTGTATTTTACTTTAACTAGGGCAATTTTATCAAGTTTGGAAAATAAAAAATAAGTGCAGAAGAAATATGCATTTGCCAATGGTTAAAGAGATGAGAAAGAGGTTATATTCAGTGCAGCATAGTACTATATTTGGAATGAATATTAAAACGGTTAATGTGAACATATTCATTATAGGAATTTGAAAATTTAAAGCAATATAAATAAAATGTGTTAATACCTTTGGATATTGTTTTAAGCCATATAAAAATTTTACATTTTATGCCGAAATCAGTTTGGCTCAGTGATAGAGCGTCGGTCTTCGGACTGAAAGGTACCGGGTTCGATTCCTGTCAAGGGCATGTACGTTGGTTGCGGCACACCCCCGGTGGGGGGTGTGCAGGAGGCGGCTGGTCAATGTTTCTCTCTCATTGACATTTCTGGCTCTCTATCTCTCTCCCTTCCTCTCTGTAAAATATCAATAAAATATCTTAAAAAAAAAAAAAAAAATATATATATATATATATATATATATATATATATATATATTGCCTTTTAGGCTGTTCTGAAACTGCAGGGACTAGAGAATTATTTCACACATAGCTCCTGCCAATTAGTTACCAAAGCATCATAATATACTACAAAATTGTCATGGTGATAAAAATAAGTATTAAATTTATTTCCACAATCATACTAAATACCTAGAAATTACTTGGCAACAAGAAAATATGGCACAGAAAGATGTAATTTTGTCAAAGATTAACATTTAACCTATCGAAGAAGTTTTTAGATTGTGGTGGATAATTCATAACTAATGAATTATAATTTACTCGGTTATGCCAAATTGCCCCTTGGAAAATCACCAAACTTAGAATCCCCAAACATATATATTAGTGAGGTTTTGCTTGAACAAAGTTAGATTTAATAATGGGTAACTTTCTTGGTTCCCCTTGTGGGCAAAGTCTGTTTAATTTGAACTGCAGCACATAAATACAGAGTATCATAAATGAACAAGATCTCAATATCTATATATATAAAAGGCTAACATGCAAAGTGTCCCCTCGGGTATTCAACCAGACCTTGTTCGATTACTCGCTATTACATGCACAGGCCACCACAGGCGAGTTCGATTACTCGCTATTACATGCACAGGCGCAGAACGAAGGAAGGCCCTGAACAGCAGCCAGAAGGCCCAGACGGGCCCTGATCACTGGCCAGGCCTAGGGACCCTACCCGTGCATGAATTTCGTGTACTGAGCCTCTAGCATATTATAATATTGATGCCAGATAACATTAGCTAAAAATGTAATTTATTCACACCGTTAATTCTTTTTCTTTAAGGTTCTTTTATCAAAATTATTTAAATTTCATAACACATAGTCTGCTAAATCCATACTATAGAACAGGATCAGGTAAATCAACTTATTAAAATTACTAATTTCTTAAACAAGAAATAAACTGTACACTCAAATCTACTCAGAATCTTTTGCTACTTATTATTCTCACTTTCTATAATGCCTAATCCATATATATATATATATATATATATATATATATATATATATATATAGGAGAACTGTCAAATTACCAAAATCTGTCAAAAGACTGTTTTAACCCCAAAATATTAACATGAATTATTTTTCCATCTTTGGCACAATATATGCTATTCTGGTAAATCAAATTCAAGGAGTAGTCATGGGGACATCTGATTTATATGCAAGTCAGAGAGAAGTGTGGGTAACCTGGGAACCTACTACTCATGATTGGCATCTGAAATGGGAAGCAGACTCGTGGGACTGAGCCTATGACCTGTGGGGTCTGTGCTAACTCCAGTTTCTGTCAGAATTGAACTGAATTGCAAGACACGCAGTTGCTGTTGCAGAGATTTGTTTGGTGTCAGAAATAGGGTGATTGGAATTAGTATGAGAGAAAAAGAGAAAAGCACAGGAGTATTGTTTTCCTACAGATTGTTATCCAAAATAATATACCAAAAACTCTTAAGACTCAACAATAAGAATACAAAAACCCAATTAAAAAATAGACCAAAGACCTTAATAGATATCTTGCTGAACAAGATATACAAACTGAAAGAAAGCATATAAAACGATGTTCCATATCATATGTTATCAAGGAAAATTAAAACAAGATAATAGTAAACATCTAGGCCACTGAAACAATAAATGCTGGCAAGGATGCAGAGCAACAGCAGCTCTCATTCACTGCTGTTGGGGAAAGACAGTTCAGTGCTTTCTTACAAAACTAAACATTCTTTAACCATGGAATCCAGTAATCATGCTCCTTGGTATTTACTCAAAGGAGTTGAAAACTTATGTCCACACAAAAATGGATGTCTATAGAAGCTTTATTCATAACTGCCCACACTTGGAACAACCAGGATACGCTTTAGTAGATGAATGGATAAAAACACTGTAGTACAGCCAAAACCAGTTTGGCTCAGTGGTAGAGCGTCGGTCTGCGGACTGAAGGGTCCCGGGTTCGATTCCGGTCAAGGGCATGTACGTTGGTTGCAGGCACATCCCCGGTAGGGGGTGTGCAAGAGGCAGCTGGTCGATGTTTCTCTCTCATCGACGTTTCTAGCTCTCTATCTCTCTCCCTTCCTCTCTGTAAAAAATCAATAATATATTAAAAAAAAAAAAAAAAAATATATATATATATATATAAAGAAAAAAAAAAAAGAAAAGAAAAAAAATTCAGAACACTAAGTGTAGCTTCAGATTGACCATTTCACATTAGATAGAATTTAAGCAATAACCTTTTCCTACCTGGATTATTATTCTAGTCAATATACCTTTTTTGACTTTTTTCCTTGGCATCATCTCTCTTGGGAGTCTTCTCCAATCTGTATGTACAAAAAAAGAAATATAAAAATTGCAGTTCCTTCTACAAATTAATGGTACTGAACATAATTATTTCAAAAAATACAACAGTTGCTCAAGCAATGAAAATAAAATTTCTTAATATCAAATTGAACAGATTTAGCATGGGTATCAAAATATCATAATAATGTATTTTCTCCCATGAAGAAAAAGTGTTCATTAAAATAGCTCTGAAATCCTATCTAATAAAAGAGTAATATGCAAATTGACCATCACACCAAGACACAAGATGGCCACCACAAGATGACTGCTACAAGATGGCCTGCAGGGGAGGGCAGTTGGAATTAGGGGTGACCAGGTCAGCAGAGGAGGGTAATTGGGGTGACCAGGCTGGCAGAGGAGGGCAGTTGGGGGGATCCAGGTCTGCAGAGGAGGTAGTTAGGGAGGAGGGGTCCAGGCCTGCAGGAGAGGGCAGTTGTGGGGGACGAGGCAAGCAGAGAGGGCAGTTAGGGGTGACCAGGCTGTCAGAAAAGGGCAGTTGGGAGGGACCAGGTCAGCTGGGGAGGGCAGTTGCAGGGTACCAGGACTGCAGGGGAGGGCAGTTGAGGGGGGCCAAGCCTGCAGTGGAAGGCAGTGGGATGGGGGAACCAGGCCTGCAGTGGAGGGCAATTGGGGGGGGGGGCAGACCAGGCCTACAGTGGAGGACAGTTAGGGCAGATTGCCCCCAACCTGATCCCTCCCCTGCCAACCTGCCAACCTGATCCCTCCCAACTACCCTCCCTACTGGCCTGATTGCCCACGACTGCCTTCCACTGCTGGCCCGATCAACCACAACTGCCCTCCTTTGCCAACCTGATTGCCCACAACTGCCCTCCCCTGCCAGTCTGATTGTTCACAACTGCCCTCACCTGCCGGCCTGATCATCCCAAACTGCCCTGTCCTGCGCAACCCACCTCCTCTGCCAGACTTGCCTCCTCCATGCATGGTGGCAGAGACACCGGGACCAGCCTTCTCCATGCCACGGGACCCCCAGGCCTCACTGCAAGGAGGGGCCACCGGGCCCCACCTCCACTGTGCGTGCGGCCATCTTGTGGAGGCCATCTTGTGGTGGCCATCTTGTGATGATGTCACGAGAGGGCATCATGCATCCTAGGCTTTTATTATATAGGATTTATATAATGATTTTAAGAACAGAAATTTTTATAACTAGAAAAGTGTATAAAAATATTTTTCTACATAAAACTTTTTGGGAGTAAATAGATATTAAATGTTACTCATAATAAATTGTTGATTTAAATGTTTTTAAAACAATATATAGAATCCCCTTTAAAAATAAATCTAGCATAAGCATGCTCTCACTCTGTGCCTTTCCTGATCCCTCCACTTCTTCGTAGGCATGTAACCTTTACTCTGCTCTCTCCTAAGCATCAGGGCCTTCTTTTGCCTCTGTAACTTGTGTTCTAATAGCACTATCCAAATCACCCTGACAGGTCACTTCATTTCAATGGCAACTTTTTTTTTAATCTGCAACATAAATGAGCTGGATGCGATCTCTCCAGCCCCTTCCACCTTGTCTATATCCAATGCAAATTTATGAATTTGGGGGAGGAAGGGGCCCTCATGGGTATGGTTCTTTTGAAAAGGCATCTTAACAACTAAAAATAGTCTGTCTGCTTGAAAGAAAGGAAGATCCATGAGCTTAGCTTAGAAAACCCTTAACACTAGATTTGTTCTTTCTTCAAAAGCTATCAAATCACTCAGGAGTACAGAACTGAGTACTGCTGGTACTACAGACTAAAACTGTGATTGTGGCAAATTAAAATGGAAAACCAAATAGGTCTGCCAAGTCCTAGTATGCGTGTGTGTGTATATGTATATATACCTATATACATACATATACATATATATACTTATACACACACACACACACACACACACACACACACACACACATATATACTGGAGGCCTGGTGTACAAAATTCATGCAACAGTAGACTTTCCTTCCCCTGGCTGCTGGCTGCGGCTTCTCTCTGGCACCTGGGACCCGGACTTCCATCTGGCTGCCATTAGGCTTTCCTTGTAGCCCCTGCTTCATTCAGAAGGACATCCAGAAGGATATCCAGTCTAATTAGCATACTATGCTTTTATTGTTATATATACATAGATATAAAGTATTTTAAGAACTTCCACAAAAATACTTCAACTCTTCCTTGTTACAGTATAAAATTCCTTTCTTCTGAGCTTTTAAAAGACATACATTAAGAATTAATTTTGGAAGAGATAGAATCTATTTTACTATGGTGAAATAGAAAATTTGTCCTACGAAAATATGGTGCAGGAAAAATAGCCATTAAATATTATTTTAACATTCTCAGTTTTATAATTACCTGGTATCCACTCTTCTTTGTACACCTTCATATATCTTTTACTGTATCTGTCAATATCTAGAAAAAAAATTTTAGAAGTGTTCATTAGAAAAATCAAGAATAAGCCTGAATTTAAGCCATTCCTTTAAAATAACTGAAAACACAGATACCTTTCACTTCACATTCAGGGAGCTTCCTGCATTTGCACATAATATATCCCTGAACACATATCGAAGAGTCCCATGAGCGTTAGGTATTTAAGTGTCAAGAAGCAGCTATGTAAAAATGGCTGGAATTGAGCAAAAACCTAAACTTTAACTATAGTTCTTACAATCAGACAACCTGACTCATCGCTGAGGATATTCACAAAAACCAAAAGACATGCCAGGAAGCCACTTACATACAAGGGCAAGGAGGGCTACTCAGCATCTTCTATTTCTTCTGCTGACACTGGTCTCCAGCTCCTAATCGGTAAACCTTGTGTAACTGTGATGTATAAAGTACCTCAGTGGGGATGGAGGGCTGTTTGCTCACTTCTAACACAGTTAGGTTTCTCAATTAGCTACTTTTCACAACCCATTGGGAAGAAGAGTGAGGAAAAGGGGAGGAGTAGGCGAGCTTGGACTGGACGGGGCCGTGAATGAGCAAGCTAAAAACCTTCATGCCAACTACTGAGAACTCTGTAGGGATCTTCCGAGTTTGCCAAAAATGGATGAGTCATAATTGTGTCTCTTGATTCTGTTTTGCCCACTTTGCCACAAAATCAAGGCCCAAATATGTAATGATTTTTTCTATGTTAACAAAATGCTTCCAAATAATACTAAGACTATGGCATTAGACAAAGAAAACTAAAGATAGCTAAAGCAGATCAGAGACCAAGAGACCAGGCTTTTCTAGGTATTTAACTGTCTGACATCAATCTTGCTCTCAAGTTTTTCATCTATAAAGCGAAGTCAGCAAAAATGAGAGATTTCCATCATTTGCATTTTATAATTTCCTACAAAACATATTCCATATTTGGGGGAAAAAATTAATCCATAGAATACTAAGAAAAACAGTTATTACCTGCTTTCAAAGAACCATTTTTTAAAAATTTTAAATTACTTTCAAATAATTTACAGACAACTAAGAAATAGTACTAGGACCCAAATAAAAAGAGGCCAATAATTTGAACAGCATTTCACCAAATATATGTGGACAAAAAAACACGATACGGTATTGAACATCATTACTAGTCATTAGGGAAATTCAAATGTATACCACAATTAGATACCATTTTATACTTAGTAGGATGGCTACTACCAAAAAGACAATAATAAATGCTGGCAAGGATGTAGAGAAACTGAAAATCTCATACATTGTTGGTGATGAAAAAATGTGCAAAATTTTGCAATACAGTTTGGAAGTTCCTCAAAATGTTACATATAGAGCCAAAACTGGTTTGGCTCAGTGGTAGAGCATCAGTGTGCAGACTGAAAGGTCCCAGGTTCGATTCCAGTCAAGGGCATGTACATCGGTTGCGGGCATATCCCCGGTAGGGGATGTGCAAGAGGCAGCTGATAGATGTTTCTCTCTCATCAAAGTTTCTAGCTCTCTATCTCTCTACCTTCCTCTCTGTAAGAAATCAATAAAATATATTTTTAAAAAATAATTTTTAAAAATGTTACATATAGAGTTAACTTATGACCCTAGATATATACCCACCAATAGAAATGACTTATGTCCACATAAGAATGTATAAGTGAATGTGCATAGCAGCATTACTCAAACAGCCTCAAAGTAGAGCTGACCCCAGTATCTGCCAACTGATGTATGGGTAAATAACATGTGGTATATGCATAAAATAGAATATTACTCAGCCATTAAAAAAATGAAGCATTGATACATTCTATACCATGGGCAAACCCTGAAAACATGCTAAGATTCCTTGTATTTTTAAATATTTTATTGTGCAGTTATCAAAGATAAAGAGTCTCTTAAAAAAAAAATAGAGCCTTTTTATCCAGGTACAAACCACCCACTCCCAGAAACCAGCAACAAAATTATGTTCTTAATACGCCTGTTAAAAGACTCGCATGAATACTTTAATGATATGACACACTTTTAATTAACATGTGCTTTAATATCAAGCACATTTAGTTAAATAAATTTGTTTTGCACTCTGGAGAAAAGACTAATTTTTAAAAACCATATATTTCAGAGAGGAAGAGAGAGAGAAACATCAATGATGAGAGAGAACCATTGATCAGCTGCCTCCTGCATGCTCCCTAATGGGGATCGAGCTGCAACCCAGGCATGATGAGCCCTGACTAGGAATCAAACCCTGACCTCCTGGTTCATAGGTCGAGGCTCAACCACTTAGCCATGCCAGCCAAGCAAAAAAAGACTAATTTTTGAAAAGATTAAAATATACCCTACATTGTTATTTTTTTTAAATAAGAATGAATATTTATTAGTTCATTTAGTGTTACTTTTAAAAATCTTTAATATGAGATATTTAATTCCATTTTCAACTCAAAGAAATAAAAGTATGCAATATAATCATGAAAGTTAAAAAAATTCAGTATGTTGAGGTAAACAAATTCAGTATTTTTTTTAATATATTTTTTATTGATTTTTAACAGAGAGAAAGGGAGTGAGAGAGAGAGCTAGAAACGTCGATGAGAGAGAAACATCGACCAGTTGCCTCTTGCACCCCCTCTACCAGGGATGTGCCCGCAACCAAGGTACATGCCCTTAACCGGAATCGAACCTGGGACCTTTCAGTCCACAGACCAACGCTCTACCACTGAGCCAAACCGGCTTCGGCCAGTATTTTTTTTTTTTTTTTTTTAGGTATAATTATCTCCTTCTTATCAAACCATTATGTAACTTCAAGCAGTTATATTTTGAAAAGTTAAATGAACCTGTCTAAAAGTCTCCTTATAATTATAAGCACATGCAATATTACTTTATAAGACTTCCTTTTTGACTCTTAGCCAATTCTAGTTTCCAAAGAGACGGGAAATGGAATGCATTTTTATTACTAATGGAATGTGATAGTACTATATGAATTTCTCATGTTTTAATGATGTTGTTTTGAAAACTCAAGAATGATATTGACCTCTCTAATTTCAACATTCAAGGGCAGAAACTGAAAATCAATACAGACCTACTTTGCTAAATAACCGCTCGGGAATAGATTCCCTGCCTCTAAAAGCACTTCCCACTTCCAGTCTGAGACCATCAAACCTTCTCCTACTCAATCTCCTCTCTGACCTGAGCATAACTAATGAATGTGTGTTTTGTATTCTATTATATCTGATATATAAAAAATAAGCCACAATACAGTTAAAGCATTTAAAATTTTTAACCCAAATATGAAATAATCAGAGGCCTGCATTAAGATTTACGTATAAGGATAGTAATCATGGCATTATATATGAGAAAAAAAAGAGAAACAACCTTAAGTCTAACAGCAGGAAATTAGTTACAATTGATGTTATATCCACAATGAAATACCTCAGAGTCAATAAAAATAATATTTTCTAAGAATACTAAGGATAAGCAAAAATGCTAATAATACGCTACTGAGTAAAAAAGGGAGATACAAAAGTAACATGAATCCAATTTTATAAAAAGAATATACATGCAGCCCTCGCTGGTTTGCTCAATAGTTAGAGTGTGGCCCTCAGACTAAATGGTCTCATGTTTGAGTCCAGTCAAGGGCATGTACCCTGGGTTGCAGGCTGAATCCCCCCACCCTAGTCAAGAAGTGTGTGGGAAGTAACCAATCTACATCTCTCTCCCACACTGATATTTTTCTGTCTCTCCCCTTACCTTTCTCTCTCTCTAAAAATCATACAATGGGTGAGGATTAGCAACAACAAAGAATATACATACAGAAGAAAAATTCTGGAATATACTAGAAAACATTTTAATCTAGACATAAACATTACAGATGATTTTCACTTTTTAAATATTTTTTATTTTTCATAATTTTTACTGAATACATAAAACTATTGTGAAAGGTAATTCTACAAATAAAATATCAAAAGTTTTAATGTATATTTTTTGTTAAATCAACCTAAAATACACTTTTCAAGGTAGTTGATAATTCCTGACTAAATCAAATCAGTCAGTATCAAATGATCATATATCTTGTGCCAAAGTACTGTTTCATTTGTTTGCACTGAACCACAGAATCAGAGTCCAATACGCACCTTGTTTTTCTTCAGGTGTTTCTATAAAATAAGGCAATCTTTTCACAGTTTCTCTCAACTCCTGTTTTAAGGCCAGCATATAATCTTCACCCTCTCCTGTTTTCAGTGGCACTGGTTTATAATCTGTATCCTGTTTAAGTTAAGAGACAATGATTTTTTTAAATAAATATTTTAATATCCCTTTTGCCTACATTCTGGAAAGTGTCAGTTTTATTGAAAAACTACATTTTATAGGCAATAAGGTTAACAATCAACTTAAAAGATGTTGAGATTTTGTAATTCATTTAATCTTTTAGCCCATTTGCTCTTATTTTAGAGGTAGGAAAGATGTTTAATTTTTCTATTGGCCCTAATTTTCCTGATGACAAAATAATTATTTTGCTATCCAGTCTGTTTATGTGATTTCATATTTTAAAGATCAAGGCGCCCAAATGAGAGTAACTGCTTTTATTTTCTATTAACCTCAACAGTGGTGGTAGAATTGGTTGGAGCAGTAGCATAAAAAAATAGCAGCAGCTATTGCCTTCACCGGTTTGGCTCAGTGGATGGAGCGTTGGCCTGCGAACTGAAGGGTCCCAGGTTCGATTCCAGTCAGGGGCATGTACCTTGGTTGTGGGCACATCTCAAATTGGGGGTGGGGGATGCGGGAGGCAGCTGATGGATGTTTCTCTCTCATCGATGTTTCTAACTCTCTATCCCTCTTAATTCCTCTCTTTAAAAAATCAATAAAATATATTTTTTTTAAAACACAATATAAAAACTTATATATAGCACCAATAAAGCTTTAAAAAAAATAGTAGCAGCTATCATTTAGCAAATGGTTACTATGACTAGGATGTACTCAATATTCAACATCTGTGATCTTATTTGAAGTATCATCAATATTTCCCATTTTACAGTGAAGAAATTGAAGAAGTGAATACTCTGTAAGCCCACAGAACATGTAAAGCAGGAGTTTGAAACTATATCTTCAATTTTTAAAAATTACAGGCACACACCCACATATTCATAACAAAGTAGATCTTCAGGGCATATAGTAAAGACATTTTTGGATTCAGAAGCTAAGTATAGGATACATTTTCAAAATTTTACTCCAAATGTATTCATTAATTCTATAACAATTTATTGAGTGCCTACTATAAGCCAGACGTGGTTAGACAACAGGAGATACCATCATAATTAGTCAAAGTTCTTGCCCTCAGGAAACTAACATTCTAGGGGTGAAAAACACAGTAAAATAAATAAACAAATGAGTTAATATGTAATTTTGGGTAGTGATAACTATGAAAGGTAGAGGAAAAGGTGTTGGATAGTACATGGAGGTTGGAGGTGGCTGTTCCTACACAGGATAAACATGCATGACCTGTCGGGGAAATCCCGTTTGAGCAGAGAGCTAGGTAAAATTGGGAAGCCTAGATCTATGCAAAGACTTTGGGAACAGATGGCTCCAGGCAGGGAAACCAGCAGAGGAAAATGCCGGAAAGAACAAGGAAGCCGGGAAAACTAGGGAGAGAATAGTGTGGTAGGAAAAGGGTCAGAGAGACATCAAAAAGCCTCTTCACCAGTAATAGGGACTCCAGTTTTATTCCATGTATAAAACAACAGTTTATACTAACAGTTCTAGTTCTCTCTCTCTCCCTTCCTCTCTGTAAGAAAAATCAATAAAATATATTTATAAAAATAACAGCAATAACAGCAATCTAAGATATCTGAATTTTTTAAAATATTTAGTTCACACAGGACTGAACATATTCATGGAAATGTATGTATATAGTTTTGTTTCCTGTATTTTGAGAAAGGAATCAGAAAACTAAAATAGATTAAAGTGAAATATAGTGGCAACCTTACTTTGGTAAAAACTGCTGTTTGAATTTTAACCCTTCTATAATAGTTTGGCTCTTGTACCTGATTAAACACAGTGGGGGGAAAAGCTATTTACCTGAGCTTTCAGGCGGAGACTTGGAGGCTAAGGCAATTTTCCCTTGCCTGGGACCAGGAGCACAGGAGAGTAATTCCCACTAACTCAGTAACCTTCAGAGATAGAAACTGTAGATAACCTCTGAGCTCTGCTTCTATGTTATAGGCTATTGCAAGATAGGGCCACATTCCAATGTCCAGCAAGATGTGACTAGCAATGACCCTGCGGGCTGACCCCAGTCTTTAGAATTTAGTCTTTAGAATTTAGAAAGGAAAATTCCTGTGGTTTGAACCTTTAAAAGGGACTTCCGACCCCTGAAACAGGGCAGTCGTGTGGAGACCACCTGCGTGTGGTGCTCTCGCGTCTGTCCTGGACAGTTATTTCAATACATCTTTGCCTGCTTATTAATTAATCATCAGCCTTCGGGGGTCTTATTCTGAACCCAGGGTTCAACCCCACAACACAAGGAAGAACAGTAGATATATTTAAAGGAAAGTGAAACATGCTCTTACTTTCTTACACTTTAGGATATCATAATGATATCACATATTCAAGTCCTATACAGAATTCTAATTTTCTCGGAAACATGAAAAAGCACGCTGCGAGAACTCATTGTTGATGTACTTACAGGAAATAGTGGGGGTGGTTTCAATACTACATCAGGTAACCTTTCACCTCTGCTAAATCCAACCGCCTCAATATTGAAGGTATAAGCAGCACGTCCTCTTCCTTTATTCCCAGCCATTGGAACTAGTTACACCAGAAATGTGGGGAAACTCTGAAAGACACTAATGAAGGAGTAAAGTTTATTGGATCATATGAAAAATAAAACCAACATTTTAAAGCAAAATACATTTCACCCCTTATGTAGCATGGCCAATTTAAAAACTTGCGGAAGGCAAAATTTTGTAAAGAAAAGAGCATGTGATCCTCGAATTCCTGAACTCCTCACATCTAGTCATGTTTGCCAATGGCCTCAACTACCTCACCCAGGCCCTGGGTGGAGACTGACCCCGGATCTCCTTCACGATGCTGCCCCCACCACCGCACAGCCAGTTGAGGCAACGTTCTCCACTCCTCGGTGGTGTGGCAACGAGATCTCTTATGTACATAAAAGTATGGACAAGCAAAGGTCAGACTGAAGACACTGCTTTTTCATTCAGCTTGAAGACTACTAGTCATACATACTTTAAATTTGTAAATGGCCCTGGCCTGTTTGGCTCAGTGGACCTATGGCCCTGGGAAAGAAGGGTTGTGGGTTGGATTCCTGGTCAAGGGCATACTTTGGTTGAAGGCTCCATCCCCAACCCTGGTGAGGGAGTATGCAGAGGGCAACCAATTGATGCACCTCTCCCACATCGATGTTTCTCTCTCTTTCTCTCTCTAAAAACCAATAAAAAAAAAAATATCCTCAGGTGAGGAGTAACAACAAAAACTTGTAATTGATTATTTCTTTAATCCTAGAATTTGACATAAAAGATCCTTGATGTCAAGTTCAGTGACATCCCTTTAGAAATGGGAATGGGCTCAATAAGACTCTGAAGATGACTGTCGAAGCAAAAAAACAAAGTAAGTTCAGAGAAAACCACCTGAAATTAACACTGTTAAAGGTAGGATAAAACTGTACTCTCTTCAACTATGGGGACAGTAGAGATGTCACAGTACTCAATGTCCTGTACTGAATGTCTGAATTATCTAGAGCATGTTTACATTATAATGTGACAACTGAGCTGGCACTGCATTAACAGGATTCCTACCTTAAAGATCTTTCACCACAGCTCTGCATTTGACTGTAGTGAAGATTATAATACACACTTTAAATATATATTTTTAACGCTCACCAAAGGATATGTTTGTTTGGGTTTTTTTGTGTTTTTTTATTTTTTATTTTCTAGAGAGGGGAAATGAGAGAAACATGGATATGAGTGAGAAACATCGACAGGCTGGCTCCCAGGTGGGGACAGACACTGCAGCCTGGGTATGTGCCCTAACCAGGAATCGAACCCTCCACCTTTCAGTGTAAGAGACAATGCTCCATCCAACTGAGCCACACAGGCAGGGGCTAACACACACTTTAAAAATCACTTTTTCCATGGATAAGATTATCATTCAATCCTGTGAACTCAAAAAGCAATAATATGCTCTCCCATACCAAATTAAGAGTTCCCTCCCGCTTTTCTCTAGTCATTTATTTTAAAAACTGGGGTCATTGTACATACAATACTTCTCCAACTTGAAGGCACTTGTGACTTACCTGGATTCCTTGTTAAATTGCAGATTCTGATAAAGTTGGCCTTGAGCGGGCTTAAGAATCTGCATTTCCTATAAACTCTCTTGAGCTGCTAGTTTACAGACCCCAATTTGAGAGGATCAAGGCTGTACCTTGTCCCATATTTTGGATTTGAATGGTTACATACATGAGCTGTGGTTTAACAGATTTCCCTTCCCTGTATTTTCTATAAACAGGTGGGCTAGAGGCTTACTTAAAGTGGGGTTTGCTGTTTTACAAGGATACGAAAGAGGTGATTGTTTCCTACTGCATCACATCAGGATGCACATGAAGTGTCTGTCCCGGTGAGGTGCTGGTCTGGTCAGTGGGCTCAGGCGCTATCAGTGTGTTTCATCTGGTATAAAGTTCCCCCAAGTTTTGACCTGAGATTTTAGCTGTCATTGATGATCATAGTCTAGATCCATTTATTCCATTATGGATTGCAATATGGTGATATACACATTTTATCATTTTTCAGATTTTATTAACTGAAATTCTACCAGGAATCAGTTCCTCTCATCCACTGTTTAATTACTATGAAACACAATTCACATAGGAAAGGTGCTTATTTTAACAATCAAGCTCATTTCAGCAGCCCACACTAAGAAAAATATCCAAATGGCCTTGTTTCAATTGCTGAGTCATTAAAGCAGATGCTGAGCTTACGGAAGGGAGGCCTCCTAAGTATGAAAATTGCTTTGCAGAAGGGCTCGCACCTTTACCCTAAGAAATGAACGGTGGGAGCCCAGCAGACTTGGCTGAGACCACTAGGGGGAATTCCACCCAGGGTTTGCCACTAAGAACAATTGTAGACAATGGCTGTGAAACTTGCCTGATCAGGAGCACTAATTGAAAGGCTTCTTAAACAGAGTCCCAAGGGGTCCTCAAGATCTCAAACCTACTCCACCAGAATCTTCAGAGGTGGGGCTTGGCAAGTAGTTAGAAAACTCACCCTAAAAAGGGAGTTTATTAGCTACCATTGTTTGATGGGATATCCCTTGAGAAATAGCAAACTTTGCTGCCTCTAAACTTCTGTTTTTATCAAGCAACCTTTGGGTAAGTGCTATCTTTAGTGAATGTACTGCCCTTGGCAGACAAAAAACAGTCCTCGTTCTTGAATCACCCTTAATAATTAAATGGCATTCTGGCCTACAAATCCATCCCTTTTTTGTTTGGTTATCCTGAGTCAGTCAGTCCTCCTGTAACTGGAGAAACTGCTAAATTCATTTTTTCTTCTCTTGCACAGCTGAGAGGCCCTGGCAATGACTCATGGGAAAAATAGTTCACAAGCAATGCCTAAGCAGCAATCTTTAAAATTTTTTAAGTTGACTTAACAATTGCTTTATTTTTCAATTCTTTCTCACATAAATGGATTTTTAAACCTGCTTTTCCCATTTTCTCATTATCTAAGTCTTCCTTTACTTCAGATTGGACAGTTTCATTGAGTCATTCACTCAACCAATATTGAACTTTCCAGGCACAGTGGCAGAAGCCAAGCAGAACGGAACAAAACTGGTTGCTGCCCTCAGATCTTATATTTCAATGGAGGAAAGAACACAAAGAAGTAAATAAATATGTAACATAAAATTATCTATTCTTTTTGTTCCCTCCAAAAGGATGTTCAGCCAAAACTGGTTTGGCTCAGTGGTGGAGCATCGGTCTGCGGACTGAAGGGTCCTGGGTTCGATTCTGGTCAAGGGCATGTGCCTTGGTGGCGGGCACATCCCCAGTGCGGGGTGTGCAGGAGGCAGCTGGTTGATGTTTCTCTCTCATCGACGTTTCTGGCTCTCTCCCTTCCTCTCTGTAAAAAATCAATAAAATATATATTACACTGTGGAGAACAGTATGGAGCTTCCTCAAAAACCTGAAAATGGAACTCCCATTTGACCCAGTAATCCCACTCCTAGGAATATATCCAAAAAAACTAGAAACACCAATCAGAAAGGATATATGCACCCCTATGTTCATAGCAGCACAATCTACAATAGCTAGAATTTGGAAACAGCCTAGGTGCCCATCAGCAGATGATTGGATCCAAAAACTATGGTACATCTACACAATGGAATATTATGCTGCCATAAAAAAGAAGGAATTCTCATCATTTGCAGCAACCTGGATGGAACTGGAGAACATCATGCTGAGTGAAATAAGCCAGTCAATGAAAGAGAAACACCACATGACCTCACTTATTTATGGATGATAAAGAACATTATAAACTGAAGAACTAAAAGATAGATATAGAGACAATAAAGCAAGAAGCAGACTGTCAAATTACAGCGGGGAGGTTAGGGAGATCTGGGGGAGATAAGAGATCAACCAAAGGACTTGTATACATGCATATAAGTATAGCCAATGGACACAAAACTCTGGGGAGGCAGGGCATGTATGGGACAAAGATAATAATATACAAAGATAATAATTTAATTTAAAAAACATATATATATATATATATATATATATTTTTTTTTTTTAAGGATGTTCAAGTCCTGACTGCTGATAACTTGAATGTGACTTATCCTATATAAAAGGCTAATATGCAAATCTACCGACTGGAAGAACTGGTTGCTATGACACACACTGACCACCGGAGGGCAGATGATCAACCCAGGGGCTGCCCCCTGGTAGTCAGTGTGCTCCCACAGAGGGAGAGCAGCTCAGCCAGAAGTCGGGCTCACGGCTGGCGGGTGCAGCTGCAGCGGCCGGAGCCTCTCCCACCTCCGCGGCAGTGCTACGGATATCCGATTGGGAAAGGGCACAGGCCTGCCTGAGGGACCACCCCCCACACCCACGTCAAATGCACAAATTTCATACACCAGGCCTCCAGTTTGGAAATAAAGTCTTTGCAGGTGTAATCAAATTAAAGTGAGGTCATACTGAACCAGGGTGGGTCCTCTGCATCCTTATAAGAGGGAAATTTGGACACACAAAAAGAGATACACACAGGAAAAACACCACGTAAAGGTAGAGACAGACAGGCAACACTGCAGCAGCAAGCCAGCAAACGCCAGAAGCCAGGAGAGAGGTACGGAACAGACACTCACTCCCTCGTCTCTAAAAGGAACAAACCCTGCCAACACTTTGGTTTCAGACTTCTGGCCTCTGGGACCATGAGATAATAAATTTCTGTTGCCGAAACCGGTTTGGCTCAATGGATAGAGCGTCGGCTTGGGGACTGAAGGGTCCCGGGTTCAATTCCGGTCAAGGGCATGTACCTTGGTTGCGGGCATACCCCCAGTAGGGGGTGTGCAAGAGGCAGCTGATCGATGACTCTCTCATCGAAGTTTCTAACTCTCTATCTCTCCCTTCCTCTCTGTACAAAATCAATAAAATATATTTTTAAATAAATAAATAAATTTCTGTTGTTTTAAGCCATCCAATTTGTGGTAATGTGTTGTGGCCGCCTTAGAAAGTCAGTACAACTCTGAAAGAAAAAAAAAAATCACGATAAAGGGATACAGAATAACAAAGGAGTATGGTGGTGGTTTTTTATCCAAGGAAGGTCTTTCTGTGGAGGACAAATCTGAACAGTGTGCTGGAGACGGTCCATGAGCCACTAGATGGAGGGATAGGGTAGAGATAATTACAGAGAGAAGTAACAGCAAGTACAGAGCGGGAAGGCTTCTTGCTGCTCACCAACTACATGGGCTTGTTCTTCCCTCAACCCCCATTGATTATAGAGAGGGAGGGAAGGAGAGTGAGGGAGAGAGAAAAATATTGATGTGAGAGAGAAATACTGATACTGCCTCCCACATGCACCCCGACCAGAATGAAACTTGCAACCTAGGAATGTGCCCTGAGTGGGAATCAAACCCACCATCCCCACCAGCTTTTGGTGTTCAAGATGACGTTCTGAGCCACACACTGGCCCAGGGGATGTGCTTCTTGTTCCTCACACTCCCAGCTTGTGGCTTTCCCCTCAGTACTTGCTGTAACTTCTCTCTGTAATTATCTCTACTCCATCTCATTCTATTCCACCCCTCCTATCAAATCATTCAATTCTTCCTTCAATGTCCCTGCCTTTTCATTTCTTCTACCATTAACCAGCTCAGCTCTTTCCCACCTCATTTTTTATTACCGTATTTTCCGGCATATAAGACGACCCCCTAATTTTACAGTTAAAACATATTCGCTGTATAAGACTACCCCCCACTTCAAAGAAAAGATTTACTTTGCCGTCAAGATCTGCAGGTAATTTTTGTGCAATTTTGGTCTTTTGCCTTCGATTTTTGGTTGACTTTTTTTTTTCCGTTTCAAAAGTCGTCTTATACGCCGGAAAATACGGGTAACTGCAAATTTTGTGGTATTCTTTGTTCTTCCTGTTTAATTTATTCTTCCATATTATTCAACAGTTTTTATTCATATATATATATATATATATATATATATAGCCTAGTTGTGATTATGCTGCTCTCTTCTTTCCTCTTGGCTAGAGAATTAAATCCAAACTACCTATCTCAGTATTCAAAACCCTTTTAAGATGGTGGCACCTACCCTGCTGACTCAGTCTTCTGTAATCATGGCTTAATTACCATTCTCTCCACTTCAACTCACTCCCTCTTCCTCCCTGGCTGGCTGTATCTGTTTTCACCTTAAAATCCAGTTTAAGTCCCTTAACATCCACAAGAGTCATTTCATCCCACCTTGCTCTTGGAAAGATCCTCCAAGATCATGTTTAAAACTTGAGGTGATACATATTGGTACACAACTCAATTCTGGAAGAAATATAGACATGTCCCCTTTGGGAAATAGGCCTTTTCCAAAGGGAAGGAGTTTCACTTACATTTTTTGTTTGTTTCTTCAACTGTATTAACAGTAGAGATTTTACACCCCCCACTGCCTTCCCTCAAATTCTTAGGAACCCAGATCATGACTGTTCACACATCTAGCTCAGCAACTTGCACAGAGGATAGGCCTGAACAGAGCGGGAAAATTCTAACTAGGTTGGGAAAATACTTTAAAAAAAAAAAAAAAAAAGGCTGCATCCCCACCAAAAGCTTTAGGATAGAAAAGGAGAGCACACCTATGCCTGTATGAAGGCTTTTAGTAGATGCCACAATAAGGGTTTTAATTACCTCTTTATAATGCTGTCTCATGGGTCTCCAGTTTTTCCTGGCTGACTCTGGAGGTTAGTCAAGTTCTCAAGAGAACCTTTGAAGACTACATGGATGCTTCCATAGCTGGGACGTGCAGGGCGGGGAGAGTGACCCAGTGCTCCTGGTGGGAGTGATATTTGTGGCTGGCAGGGCTACCCCCAGTTATTACCCACTTTTTCTGTCCTCACCAAGTGTGGCTGCCTTCACTCCCCTTAGCTGAACCTTTCTACCAACTCCCCTTGCTCTCTTTCAAGATTGAATAAACAAAAAACAAAAAAGGAGGGTGAAGGAAGAATAAAACATTTATTTATTATATTATATTTATTTATTTGTTATCTATTTAGTGAAGAGAAGAAAACCCTTATCAACAATTTATTTATTTGTTTGTTTGTTTATGGAAGGGAAGAAAACCCTTATCAACAATTTATTTGTTTGTTTGTTTGTTTATGGAAGGGAAGAAAACCCTTATCCTGACACTGGATAAAACGCCTACAGTGAAGAAAAGTCTGCGGCAATGATTCCTGTCCGGATCCATCGCCTAGTCATCGGATTTGAAAACCTCCCATCAGTAAAAGCCTACATTCCTTCCTAACTCCGGGCAAACAGCCCCGGGAAGAGGAGACCAGGTTAAGATCTGCAAACGATGATTTTTAAAAGATTCCGAAGGGACTCGGGGTAAAGCTACCTCTCAACCACCCTCAACCCCAGAGGCGCTTTAATAAAACCTCCACCCCACCCTCCCCCCCCCCCCCCCCCGCCTTCTCCATGTGCCCCTTTACCTCTTCCCCCCCCTCCCCATCCCCTCATAGGACTCAGTGGTTCCTTGTTACCTGCTCCCTGAGGACCCAGGCTCGGGCGAACGCGTGCGGCCGGAACGCGGCGGGCAGAGAGCCGAGGCGGACCCACGGCGCCTCCGCTCCAAACAACGCGGGTTCCGGGAGCCGAACCTCCCTCCACGCGGCCCGGAGCCCAGCTCCCGGCCCCGCCAGGTGGCCCCGCCCACCCCGGGCAGACCCCGCCCGCTCCCTCCCAGGCCCCGCCCGTCCCCTCCCAGGCCCCGCCCACTCTCTCCCAGGCCCCGCTCACTCCTCCCAGACCCCGCCCACCGCGCTGCGCATTTTAGCCCTCCGCAGGCCCCGTAGTCGCTCTTACCCGCGGGCCCGACCCTTTCGGCGCCGGCGGCCGGCGCGCACCGCAGAGCCGGCGGTGGGCGGGCCCGGCGCACCCCGCGCCTGGCTCGGGCCTCCGCAGTCGGGGGGCCCCCTAGGCGGGGGAAGTGTCGCCCTCCAATCTCCCGTTGGCTGCCACGGCCCCGGCGGCCCCGCCCCTCGCGCTGCGGCTCCGGGGGCTGCGCTTGCTCTGGCGCCCGGGGCGGGCGGGCGGGCGGACGGGCGGCCTCTGCTCGCTCCCTGCGGACCCGGCCGGAGAGCGCGGCGGGCGCTCCGGGCAGCGTCTCCGCGCCCCCTCCCTCCTCCTCACTCCCCGCTCCACCCCGATCCCTCCTCCCCGCACCAGCCTCAGCCCCCCGGCCCCTCCTGGCTCTGCGCCCCCTCCCGCCCCTCCGCCCGCCGCGGAGCCCCGAGTCCGGCCGGCCGGCGGGAGGCTGCCACGCCGCCCCGCGCCCGCTCCGCTGCCCAGCATGTCGGCGCTCGAATGGTACGCCCACAAGTCGCTGGGCGACGGCATCTTCTGGATCCAGGAGCGCTTCTACGAGTCGGGCAACCGCGCCAACATCTGGCTGGTGCGCGGCTCGGAGCAGGACGTGGTGATCGACACGGGCCTGGGGCTGCGCAGCCTCCCCGAGTACCTGCACGCCGCCGGCCTCCTGCAGGACGGAGCGGCCCGGGAGCACGCGGCGTGCAGGCCGCTGCTGGCCGTGGCCACCCACGTGCACTTCGACCATTCCGGAGGCCTCTACCAGTTCGACCGGGTGGCCGTGCACCACGCCGAGGCCGAGGCCCTGGCCCGCGGGGACAACTTTGAGACGGTGACCTGGCTGTCCGACAGCGAGGTGGTGCGGGCGCCCAGCCCCGGCTGGAGGGCCCGGCAGTTCCGAGTGCAGGCGGTGCAGCCCACCCTCATCCTGCAGGATGGTAATGGGCCCTCCCGGGCGCGCGCTCTTTTCTCCTTTTTTAAGGCGGGGGATAGGGGAAGGAAATGCCCGAGGGATGGGTGCATGTGGCCGCGGTGCGTGTCTGCGAGGGGCTTGTCACGTCGCAGAAACGCCACTCTTGTGTCTGCCCTCCCCGAGTGCAAGCCCACTCCGCCGGAGCCCAGTGCATGGCCGCCTTCCTTACCGGAGGCCAGCAATGCTGAGCACTCTGTGGAAGCCGGCCCCACCCCCTAGTCAGTTTCTTGTGTCAGCTACGGTAGCGCAGCACTTGCGATGGGAAATGTTCCGTTCTTTTCTCGCCCCCGAAAACCTATCTGACATTTTCAGGCGCTTATTCAGCGAGAAGACCTGGAGAACGACACCCCACAGAGGGCATGCCCATGCTCTGTGCTTCTGAGAGCTGCTGACTGCATCTGCTCGGTGGCCATGGGCTAGGAGGAATTCCCACCTGTAGGCTTAGAAAACCTTTAGAGAGCCGTGGGTGAGATCTGCTCGTGCATCCTTATCTTCCCCATAGGTTTCTGTTCTGGATGTGGCCTCCCGAGAGGAAAATCTTGATACAGGGTACACAAGAAGTAGAATTATGTCCTGAATCTACGTGCTATGACAGATAACCTTGTCTGGTTGGAAAGCAAGGCCTGAGAATAAGGAGGTTATTTACGGTGATGGTGAAGTAGGTGGGCTAATGTATAGATATCCTTGGGCCTGTGTGAAAGATGGTTTAGAGAGAAACTAATGGGATAAAATAAGAGTAGGACCCCAGTCTTCCCAATCCCATGCAGGCACTTAAATAATTGAGGTAATTAGACACAGTGGTCCCATTTGTATATTAATTTCCTTTATTCTTTTTAGTATACTGTGTTGACTTCATTTTATCCTCACAACAGATTTGAAGTGAGCCAGTGGACACCCAGTTCAATGGCATGGCTAGAGTGCACAGAGCAAGACAGCAACAACAGTCAGGATTTGAACCAAGGCACCATAGCTCAAAGCATGCTGATCATACATAAATCCTACTCCATAAATATATTATGGTAATTCTGAGTAGAATGTGAAATCCCCTCCTTTCCATTCTATTCTTGAAACCATTTTAATTTCCACTTTAATTTATTAAAACATCCTTCGATGAGGTAAAAAAAAATCAAGTTGCTGCAATATAATAAGGCTCATTTTATGACTGGCCAATATGACAAATAATATTTTACAAAAATAATTTTGTTTTACAGATGAAATCCTGATCACTTAAAATATAAAATATAAAGAGCATGATTCTATACCTTATATCCCACCCAAAAAGTCCTTTTATTAAAAATTTAAATCTAAATATAAAATTTTAAAAAAACTGGTTTAGCTGGTACTCTTATATTACCTAACAACTTGAGATGAAAGTATGGTACATTTAATGTAAATTTAATGTCTTTTCACATTATCATATATTTAATGTAAATTTAACATAAATTTATATTAAATGTACTTTTAACTACTATATAGCTTGATAAAATTAATACTTTTACTAATAAAGGTAAGATTTCCATGTAGTTGATGGATATTCAGACTAAATTTTCTGGCATCCAGATCAAAAAATGTTGACATTAGTACTTAGAATATATTTAAATTGTGTAAATGAATAAATTACTTTTGATCCATTTCCTTTTGCTCTCTGCCAGGGATCTATGGTGAAAGAGTGATAGAATGACTGTTTCATAGATAAATATTCCAGGCAGGCCTGACTGTCCCATGCACACACCCACTTTGAAAAAGAGCTGGGACTAGAATCCAGGTTTACTAAATACCATTTATAGCTTTATAATTATAATTAAAGTATTTTGGAGCTGCAAGGGGTCTGTACCCTACCTGTGTGGTATTTTAAGCCTTTGAAGGTATAAAAAGAAAGCTTGATATTTACCAAGCACTTTGAAGGTTATAATACTGTGTTAAATCAAAAGGTATGTGGTTTTTTGTTTTGTTTTTAGTAGCTGAATGCCTCACCCTCTCAAGTAGTATCTAATTTCCTCTTTTCTGAAGAATATTAATTTCCTGTCTCTTCTGCATGGCGTGGTATGCTAACTTGCTATTATCATAATATGGATGACTGGAAGGAGATATAAAATATTTATATTAAAAGTGCATACACAGTTATGCACACACATCAACAGCACATACCCAAACAGCACAACTTCTTCATTGCTTTGGTTAGAAGATAAGGAAGCTGTAGTCAATTATTTTATTACATTTCATTTAAGTGAAATGATGACCACCTGTCTTGGGAAAACATAAATCTGTACACTGTATTACTAATCCAAAAGCTGACTTGTAAATGAGGGACAAGGAGGACAAGGAGAGATCATCATACAGTGCATCATCTCAGATGGAAAAACACTCGCCTTACCACTAGTGAAAATAGTGTCTTCCTGTAATAAAATAACAATAAACCATAGATTGATATAGCACAGTCTTCTTGATTGGGTGCACATTTTGCCTATTTTTTTAACAATGTTCAAGTGATATGAAGTACAGGCATTTTGGCTCCTATTATGCACATTTAAACTATTTGCCCAGAGTCACCAACATACAGAGTTAGGCTAAAGTAGGTTTATAGTTAATTGTATGGAAAATAATACAATAAATAATAATACAAAAATAAAGTGTTTTGTATGCCTATTTTGTATTTGAGCAGCTGTTTCAGATGGACTTGAATCATTTAGGGACAATAAAAAAAATAAAAAAAAGATTCCAGAAAGGTAGGTGATTAAATAAGCACATCTTATTTGACTTCCTTCTAAAACCCCATTAAGAATACTATAAAGGGACTGTGGTTTGCTCCCCACATTGACTGGGGAACTGTTTCAGTTGTTGAGAGCACTAAATGATGACTGAGTGAGTAGTTTTATCCTATTCCAGCAATGGGAAAGCAAGAGCCAATCCAGTGAGCACTGAAGGAGCTTTAAAAGGAATTAGCAATCTCTGGTACCTAAGTGGAGGCAAAGGGAAGAATACTACTAAAATGAGTAGAATTGGTTGAAAGCCATTTAAGAAGTTGTTAAAACTCAAGAACTCTTCTTAATAAGTGAATGCCCATCCAGTCAGTTTGTTCTCTGGAGAGAGTAAAGCAGAGGGGTTTCTTGACTAAGCGATGGCAAATACTATTGAGTACAGAGTTCAGAATGGAAAATAGGAAGAATGTGTGTGATTCCCTCCTAGTTCCCAGAGAATGAGAGCCAGGCATTTATCCCCCACCTCCTCCCTCCTAGAAAATTGAAAGAATCAGATCTGAAATATCTGTTCAGACATAGAGGAAAGATTAAGATGCTGATCTCTAAGTAATCCTTGGCTTGATCTTTTTGCAATGAAGCACATAGGTCACTAGGTCCCATGCATGTGTTTCTAGCAGCCTTTTCATCCCCCACTCTTAAACAGGCAACCAAATATTATGAAAAAGTCTGTGAAAATTCTCTAACAAGAGATCAAATACACAAAACAAATAGCATAAAGCAACTTGGATGGTAGAATTATCATTAATATCATCAGGGGACTACAGAAGGTATTGCATTCAAGTTATCCAAGAGACAATAGGATGCTTTCAAAATAAGCAACAAACGGAACAATACACACACACACACACACACACACACACACACGAAAGGGGCTCTTGGAATTTAAGACATCCAAAAAACTTAGCAGAAGATGACATTGAAAAGTTACAAAAAGAGCAGATAGGTTAAATGAAAACTAGGAGAGAACCAGTAAAGGAATAGTTTAGAAAATCCAACATTTGAGTAATAGCAGCACAGACAAATAAAGTGGTGGAAAAGAAAGCACAGTACAGATAATTCCAGAAATACCCCACAGTTAAGGGATGTAAATTTCCAGATTGAATGAACCCAGAGTTCCCAGCAAAATGGATGGAAACACTTCCAACCCAAGGCACATCGTTGTAAAATTTCTGACTACTTGGAATTAAGCTTCCAGAAACCCTTTTTAAAAAGTTATCCTGTAAAGGTATCTGGCCATGACTGGAAAGCTGGGAAATTTGAGAGTGTCTGATCCCATCTCACTGTAATTACTGGGATTCAAGACCAGAACAGACTGCTCCCACCCCTTGCCCCCATTGATCTGTTTTGTGTCACTATATTTTATTTTTCCTGAAAAGTTTCTACAAATGCAATTATATAATATATAGTTTTCATATATTCCACTTGGTGTGATGTTTTGGAGATTCATCCATGTTGTATTAATAATTATTATTTTCTGTTGCCTGGAAATACCCCAGTGAATGGACATGAAGTATCTCTTCTTTTGTTAGGTCTTTTTCCCCTATTATTTATTTTTAATGTTGACAGTACTATAGATGTCTCCCAGTTTCTCCCTTCTCGGCCCCCCCCCCCAACCCTTGCCACACCCTAGGCCTTCCCCATACTATTATGTGTCCATGGCTTATGCGTATATGAAATAAGGTACCGGCATTTTTAAAATTAAAATAAATGTCGCCCTTCCCAACCTCTTTGAAACCATTTAAATGTTCTTCTCTTTAACTGAAGGCATATGCGCAACATGTTTATCTGTGAACTCTGTTTCTGTTTATAGGGGATGTAATCAACCTCGGTGACAGACAGCTCACCGTTATGCACATGCCGGGTCACTCCAGAGGCAGTATCTGCTTACACGACAAAGACCGGAAGATTCTCTTCAGCGGAGACGTTGTGTACGACGGATCGCTGATCGACTGGCTCCCCTACAGCAGGATAAGTGACTATGTCGGGACCTGTGAACGTCTGATCGAACTGGTGGACAGACGTCTGGTGGAGAAGGTGCTTCCTGGGCACTTCAACACCTTTGGCGCCGAAAGGCTTTTTCGATTGGCTTCTAACTATATTGCAAAAGCCGGGATCTGTCACAAAGTTTCTACTTTTGCCATGCGATCTTTTGCAAGTTTAGCCCTACGGGTAACAAATTCCAGGACCTCACCATAGTACCTATTCTGGTAACCTATTTAGGTTAGTTCTATAAATTAATCCAGTTCACTTTGTGCTGGTTAAAATGGCTAATGGTGAGCATTTAAAGAAGTGTTATTATTACTACTGTTGTATATTAGAGGAAAAGAAAAAAAAGGTTGAGAAGGAATAAGCCAAAAAAGAAAGTTCTTAGTTTAATTTTTTTTTCTTTCCTCAAATAATAAGCCTCTTAAGTAAGATTATAATTTGCCAAAGCTGTCATCTTGTAATTTTTGCTTTAGAAATGACATAAAAATATATGGGGAGCAAGGAGACATTTTGAGTAGTAAGAGAACTCTCCTTGCTTTCTATTTGTCTTTATTTCCTAGAAAAGGGTCATAAGGTGTTATTAATACTCCAAACTTGATATTCTTAATATATTATTTAAAAGTAAAGGTTCTTGGGTTTTAAATACATTAGAACTCGATACAAACATATAAACTAAGACTTAGAATGACAGCTAAAACAATTCATTGTTCTGATACAGAATTTTTATACTTCATTTTATTTATTCTTAATGTAATTATCACATATATTATGTGTTGTATAATTTTACTTACAAAAGTACAATGAAGTTTGTTTTATTGCAAAGCTTTAAATGTAAATTGCAGAGTGCTTCAGTAAAAAGATGTTATATATTGTTGTTTGTTATTATGTGTGTGTGATATTTGTAATCATAAAAGTGAATTTCAAATGTCTGTAATCTAACTACAAATTGTCAACTTTCTCAAAAGGACACTGTCAGGCAAACCTGAAAAATATACACATTGAGAATAATTTTATTATATCCTGTTTTAATGTTAACAGCTATTATAAACAAAATTTTTCTTGTGAAATAACAGCTTCAATATATGTCATATTTTATAGTATCAAAACAACTAGAGACCTACAACATCCTGGTCTGAACCATTCTTTTATTTTAACATACCATACACATGTATTACAGAAGCCTTTCAAATAATGGGAAAATGTGCATTAGATATTGTCTTAGAGTGAATTGCCTTTTTAATCCTGATTCACAACACCTATTCCTGTTCAGTATTCTTTGTCCTGAATGAAATGAAGTCTACATTTATAAAGTTATAGGAAAGATTATACCACTATTTAGTAAAATGTTTTGGTTTGGTGCTCTTAATTATTAAAAAATCTTTTGGAATAGTTCATAAAGGTTTTTTTTTAAAGTGTTTTCACTGCCTTTTTATTATTGACATGTCCAAGACCAAACTGAAATAGCTTTGGAAATTAGATTTTCAGTTTTAGGAAGGTCCAGCAATTGGTTTCTAAAAAATTATTAAACTTTTCCTACCCTACACCCACCCAGGTTCTTTAGTCTTTTATTCACTCAACACACATGTGCACACACACCCACATGCATACACACTGTCACATATATACATGCACAGCATTGTGCTAAACACTGTGGAAGCTTAAAAAGTCAAAGAGACTACATCCTAACTAGAAGTAGAAGTCAAAGTGTGAATAATATTATATACGGATTGAAGTTGATGTGAATTACACATGAGTGAGTGTCAGGACATAAATGGAGGAATGTGAAATTGGGTTAGAGAAAGATTCCTAAGGAGGGGATTTGAGTCATATTTGGAAGGATGGTTTTCTAGGTAGTCCAGGTAGGAAAGAAAAAGATTCAAAATAGGGATGGAAGCATTGCTGTCTAGAGGAGTTATTCCCTGTGATAATTTAAATTTAATTTTCAGGAATCTTAGATCTCCCAAATACCAAGTATTTAGCATGAGAAAGATGGATTTGTGATTGAATATTTAAAAATAATCTTTAATGACAGACAAAGCTGTACTGCCACATGTGACCAAATGAATCTTTATTTAAAATCAGTAAGAAGGCCATGATTGTTCAAATGTAAAATATCATGGTCATTTCTCTATTATAGTCATTCAAGGCTGTAGGTCGGTTTCAGTTGATAGTGCAACATCAAGAATATAAATTTGGTTCAGGGCAACTACAAACAATCACTTAATGAGCCTTAAATATAGCCATTATTTTTTTATATCAGTAGCACAAAAGAAAACCAAAAGTCCTTAACCATTGACCATTTTATCATATATTTTTAAAGTGTATAGTATGCACCAATTTTTATTGAGAAATAGTTAAACCCGATTAAATTTTTATTTCTTAAAAATACAGTTTTCCAAAACACATTGATTTGATTTTTTTTAGTTTTCAAATTGTATCAAAACATAAGACTTTAATATTTTACTATTGCTTCCATATGAACAAATAGGGGAAAGCATCTATTATTCATTTAGTCCCATGTTATAAATTTTAAGATGTGCATTATTTAATTTTATCCTCAGTGCCAAGAAATAACTGGCCAGCCTCAAACAACACAACTTTCGACAAAGCTGGTCATAGAACACAGGTCTCTCTGCCTCCTAAACTGTGTGCTCTTTCTCTTATACCTGCACAATAACATGAAATTGGCAAAGTGTATTTTTTTTTCCAAGATGCCATATGTGCCAAGAATAAATCAACTGATGTTAAAGCACAATAATAGAATATTAAAAAAAAAAAACCTTAAAAATATATATATCAAACTGACAGTGACCCTTGTAATTTATGCTTTTTGGAAATGATAGCATGTAAGTAAAATTCAAAGTTGTCAAAATGTAAGAAATTTAGGAATAATTTTTATTATTTTATTGTTAATAACTGAATCTTTGGAAATTCATTTTCCTAATTTAGTGTTTCTTTTTAACTGAGACGTCTTAAACACAAACTTTGTATGTTAGCCTGATATAGAAAAATAAATGATTATGTGTAATTGTTATATGGATAATAATATGAATGTGACATGCACAAGTTGTCCTCATGATTTTCAGATAAATATAAGTAAACGTGTGTGATTATTATTAAAGTGGACATTTTATTTCAATCTCTAATTGGTATGTTTTATGGTGTTAACAAATTCCCATTTAATTTCTTGCAAGGATATTTTCTCATGTGAAGTGCAGTTTTGAAAAGCTGGTAATAAGATGTCAAATTGATGGGCAAAAATAGAAAATCCATAAACCAAAAAATACCCAAGTAAGCTTTAGTAGTTAATAAATATGACATTCCAAATCAATGGATAAAGGTGGACTATTCTATATGAAAAATGTAAAACACTATAGGGGAGGAAAATTATTTTCTCTGCCCTCTTAGGTTCTGTGGCTGGGCCTAACAACTAAACTTACAAAAGATAATAACAGGAGCAAAACGTACAATTTTTTTTTATTTGTATTTTTATATGTACATGGAGGCCTTAATATATAAGAAATAAAAACCCAATGAAGCAGATAGGCTTGAGAGCATGCATACCATTAAAAAACACAGACACAAAAAGATAAAGTGTAAAGACTGACATGGTAGGAAAAAGAGGTTTGGGCTAGAGTTGATGAATTGTAGGAAATTGAGTAGGAAATATATGGGAATAACTAAACACAAGGGTTATTTTAGTAAGTTTATGCAGATTAATTTTGATTTCAAGTCCTGTCTCTGGTAATAAGAATGTTTTTCTCTTCTCTTCCATATGAACAAATTGGGGAGGATATCTTTTTGATGGGAGATTTTATGTCCTGTGTTAGAAAGAGGGAGGTCAGAGAGCACAGCCTGCACATTCTCACAGTCTGGGGGAGTAGGCCTAAGCCAGCAGGCAGACATCCCCCAAGGGGTCCTTAGTGCTGCTGCAGAGACAGAAGAAGCTCCTGCCACTGCCGTGAGCCTGGCTTCTGGCTGAGCGGCACTCCCTCCTGTATTGAGTGTCTGCCCCCTAGTGGTCAATGTGCATCCTAGTCACCAGTCGTTCCGCCAGTTCGGTCTATTTGCATATTAGCCTTCTATAATAATAAAAGTGTAATAGCTAGCTAATTAGACCAAACATCCTTTAGTATGACCTTCTGGACAAAGCCAGGGCTGCAAGGGAAGCGCAAGTGCCGGGTGCCAGAGGGAAGCTGATGCCGGCAGCCAGAGGAAGGAAGGCCTACTTTTGCACTAATTTTGTGCATTGGGCCTCTAGTTTATTATATAGGACTAAAGGTTTGGTGAATGGATTTGTGCACCAGTGGGTTCCTCAACCTGGCATGCTGAATTGGGCTGAAACCGGCTCTCAGACATCTACCAAGGGGTCTCAGATTGCAAGAGGGCATAGGCCAGGCCAAGGAACCCCACCTGTGCACAATCAGGGTTGGGGAGGGATGTGGGAAGTTGGCCAGTCAGGGAGGGACCGTGGAAGGGCTCCAGGGCATGTCTGGTCCATCTCGCTAATTCCAAATCAGCCATACACCAGTAGCAAGCTAGCCTACTAGTCTGAGCGTCTGCCCCCTAGTGATTAGTGCATGTCATAGCGAGTGGTTGAGCAGCCTTAGCATATCATTAGCATATTATGCTTTGATTCGTTGAACGAATGACCAGACAACTGGTCACTTAGCATATTATATAGGATTATGTTGAACCTCAGTAGTAATCAGGGAAATGCAAATTTAAATAATGGGATAGTTTACTCAGACCAGATTGGGGAATTTTGAGTATATGGAATGTTGGGAAGGGTAATAGATATTTCCTTGCTGTGCTGCTAGGAGTATAAAGTGTTCCAACCATTTTCAGGGAGGTGGGGGTAATTCTGGAATGTGATTTAACACATTCTAATCTTGGGTTGAGAATGGAGGTGGAGCTGAAACCGGTTTGGCTCAGTAGATAGAGCACCGACCTGCAGACTGAAAGGTTCCGGGTTCGATTCCGGTCAGGGGCATATACTTTGATTGCGGGCACATCTCCAATAGGGGATGTGCAGGAGGCAGCTGATCGATGTTTCTCCCTCATTATTGTTTCTAACTCTCTATCCCTCTCTCTTCCTCTCTGTAAAAAATCAATAAAATATATTTTGAAAAAGAATGGAGGTGGAGCACACACCTCTCTCTTCTGAAACTCAGTAAAATAACATAAAATGCTTTATTTTTATTTTTATT